TGTATAAAATTGCCATTAGGTTATGTGTACTAGATGTATATGAAACATCAATAAATGCTGTGTTTAGGCTTGAGTTTCCATCTCCAAGATATCTTGTTTACCACTCCATCACACTGAGCTTTTTTAGCATTTTAGGACACTTCCTAGCTAGCCCAATGATGGATGGGCACGCTGCCCATCACATGACATCAGTGGACTTCCAGCAGAGGCTTTGCGCACAACTGGAGTGGAAGCATCTTAGGAAGCTTGCCTCCAAACATGGGAGCCTGCATGGATCTGTGCTGCTTCAGCAGTGCATCTTCCATGTGATGGGGAAAATGTTGCCGCAATGAAGTGGTGTGTGGAGCAACAAGAGTCTCCCCTCATCTTTGCTGTTTCACCACAGAGGCTGGCAAAATGGCCCTGTGGAAAGTCGCCCATGTGATGAAGTCCTTGGATATGCAAATATTCCAAAATCATTACCAAAAATATGAAATCCAAAACACTTCTGGTTCCAAGCATTTCATAAGGGACGTTTCAGTGAAAAAGAAATATGATATGACAAGGGGTTAGAGCTCAGCAGGACACTGGAAGGCCACTTATACTTTCTGACCATCTTTGGACTTAATTTGGAACATCTGTTGAGGCCACTGCAGTTGCCTCAACAGATGTTCCAAATGAATATGTGTTTTCATTCTTGCTTTTGAATGCCATATAGCACACACATCAAACACAAGTCCTGTAGGCCAAATCCGGCTCACCACGTCATTTTCTGCCTCATCACACAAGAGCATGGATCCACTTTATATCTGGTTACTGTAGTTTAGTGATGCCCGGGGTTTTTCTGGCTGAGCATTTTAAAGGCCTCTCCCCTAAACTACAAGCTCCAGAATTCTCCAGGAGGAAGCAACTGGATTTAAAGTGGATCCATGCTCTAGTATGATGAGGTCCTCAATGTGGCCCACAAGGTTTTCAATGCCAGGGCAGCATAGTTACATGTATACAGTATCACAATTACAACTGGTCCTTTGAAGGCAACCATAAGTCTACTGCGACCCTTGGTGAAAGTGACTTGAGCACTCCGCCTTGGTCTTTTTGCCTCATTACTGCTTGGAATACACATATCCTTGATAACACTTCATGCAGCAATCTTCTTAGGTCCTTCATTGCTGAAGTCATGTGAGAAAGAGAGATGACTGTGAACAGACCATTACAATCACATCATCAATGCATCACATGGAACAGTGTTGCTGAAGTGACCTACTTTTTCTGTTTTGCGTTCAGAAGGCTAATCCTGTTTAGCATTGCTGGGAGGGAACAGGCACACCAGAGTGCTTTGAATTGTGCAGATGGCTGCCCTAAATGATAAATGTTTGTTTGAACTGTTTGATCTTCTCTCTCTCTCTCTCTCTCTCTCTCTCTCTTGGTAAAGGACACTTTGCAGCAGAAGTAGCTCATTTCACACACAGCTGATTCATTGTAGTAGCCTAAGAAGTCTCTATTGATATAGACAGTACACCTTTCTTTCAGACAATTAAGAGTTCCCCAAACATTGCTGGGAAAGATATAAATATCACAAATACAGGAGTTATGCACCTTATTGCTCTCACCAATAGGGGAAGAATGGGGATTTATTTGATTTGCTGTTTAAAAAAATCAGAAAACTGTAATAGCTACTTACAGTCTCATCACACTAGAGCATGGATCCACTTTAAATACAGTTTTTGCCTCTTGCAGAAGTCTGGAGTTTGTAGTTTAATGAGGCTCAGGACCTGTCTCACTGAGCAGTTTAAAGGGCCCTCCCAAAACCCAGAAGCTCCAGAATTCTGTAGGAGGCAGAAACTGTATTTAAAGTGGATCCATGCTCTTTAATCAGGTTCTTACAGAATTGGAAAATACAGCAAATCTAGTGCAGTATATTGACCAAAGTGGCAAACCGTGGGCCATTTCACACTAGTCAATAATAATAATCTTCTTCATCATCATTATTTGTACCCTGCCACCATGTCACAAAAGGAACTTGGGGTGGCTTACAAGGTACTACAAGTATAGTATATAGCATAAACAGTACATGAGTATAAAAACAATATGACATACAAGTTATAAAAACAACCACTATTAACTGATTGCCCTTTAACCACTTTGAGTCATCCTATGGATCCTGGGATTTGTCATCTGGTGAGGTACTAGATCCCTCTGGCTGAGAATTCTCTGAACTGCAAACTCCAGGATTTCATAGGCTGTTGCCATGGCAGTTAAATTGGAATCAGAGGCACTATAACCGTAGTGTGGAAGTACCCTAGCATCTAGTCACCATGAAGTCACGGCCTTACTGAGTGATCTACCAAATTATACTTACAAAGATTTTGAAATGGTAAATTGAGATGGTCAGTTTTAATTCCATTGAAAATTCCATTCAAGGCAAAGTGGGAATAAATAGAACATTTTTTTCTTTTGAATATATAATTGGACTAAGATATGGGAGATAGTTTGTTTTATAGGAGAATTGTAATTTACAGAGAAACATTTTTTTCCTTCACAAAAACTGCAGGAAGGAGTGTGGTCAGGGCTTTAGGGGTGACAGGAACATCAGAGGGAGTGTTGTACTTGGAGACCACAACCTGTATGACTCCCATTACTTTTGTACATTAATACATATAATGTTGTTTTGTAATTCAAAGTGACACAAAATTCTTCATGGTGCATTATTTGTGATACAGCAGGAGTCATGGTTTATTTGGATTGTGGCCCTCCATACTTGAAGACCTCAGGTGTAGTACCACCATTACAGCAAGTTCTAATGAAACCTAAAGTCAGTATATATGTTAATGAACTTGAATGATGAAAAAACAATCCTAGATCCAAAGCTAGGTCATCCTTATTTAGTCCCATCCATTTTAAGCTCACCCATATTTTTAGCTTTCAGTTTTAAAAAACAGGCTTGGCTCAGGCTTTGAAGAAAGAGGAAATTGTAAGATGGCTGTGGAAAGTGTTTCCTCAGGTATAGTGAACCTTAGGGTCCTTCTATACTTAACTAAAACCCAAGAGGAAGAGGGTTAAAAAACTGCATCCTCCCGGGTTTCAGTCCTCACTCCCTCCCAGAGGGCCGGAGTTTAGCACAGCTGGTAAATCACCAGCAACTATAAGATCTGTCAACCCAAAGGTTGCAAGTTCAAAGCCCCAGATCTGCATGAGCGGTCGACTGTCAGCCCTGCTCACTGTTTACGGCTTTAGCTGTAATTAGAAAAATTAGATACCGCTAAAAGCGGGGTGACCAAAAAGGAAGGAGGAAGTCCTGATGGCTCTTCGTCATAGAGAATGGAGCAACATAGTGGCTGGACTCACCTTTCTTGGCACCAAAAGAAGCTGGACACTGAATCGACAACACCTCCTTTCTGTTCTGTCTGTCTGTGTATTGTCTATACAAAGCAGCATTGAATGTTTGCCATGTATGTGTGCTATGATCTTCCCTGAGTCCCCTTCAGGGTGAGAAGGGCAGAATATAAATAAATTGTTGTTGTTGTTGTTGTTGTTACTACTACTACACCAGGCTTACTGGAGAGGCCTGCCAGCAGCGCAAGCCCCTCTGCACAGTCCTGACACTTGAAAGTGATGAGTCAGGAAGTGGGGGGGGGGGGAAGATTTCCCTCCTCTCCCCTCCCACCTCCTGATGGAGAGTGGCATGCACTGCTGGCAGACCCCTCCAGTAAGTTTTTTTTTTTGTTGAGGAAAATGTGTGGCTAGCGGGGAGGGGCGTGTGCCCTCATGCTCCTTTAGCCTCCAGGAGCCTGAAGGATCAGGATGGCTGTGGGGATTGACCCCCGGGATAATGGAGCGTGGTCCCATCGGTCAATCCCCACAGGCCCAGTACCTCAACAGACCCGGATCTTTCACCCAGTTTCTTTGGATTAATCTGGTTTTACCTGAGGCGTTGTTTGGACATCTCAGGTAAACCCATTACCTACCACAAATTTTGGGCCTGTGTAGAAGTGCTCTTAGAGTGATGTCAAAGATTGTAACAGTACAAGAATGCAAAAGTCTTATAGGCAGTGTTGCACATTTTTTCAGTCATAGGAGCTAGTATAATGCTAGATAGGCATGTTTATATAAACATACACCTATGCACACACACACACATTTTAGTAGTCCTCTTTCTTTGCTGGATGGAAACGAAGAGCCCTTTGTTCACTCCCTCATCTAACATTCTTTATACAACTTTGTCTTTCTTTTTTTTTCTGCTACCAATGGCACATAAAAAATGATACAATCGTTGAAGTGGTAGTGGGCTGGGTCAGAGTAGCCACAATTGATGCCCATAGGTTGACTGCTTGTTGTTTATGGGCTGCAGGTTCTCCACCTATACCCTCCATATCTGAGAATCCAAGGCATTTAGAGTTTAATAGAACTATCTTTTTTAATGACACTCCTGTCAGAAGGAAGGACAGAAAAGATGTTGAAGCAACAGGATGATGTTTCTGTGGTCCTCATCCATTTCAGGATTTTCTTCACATGCTTTATAGAATGCATTGTATTAGCTTTCAGCGGTGTCGCACAACTCACAGTTGCTCAGGTTTGAGTAGGACATCTTCGTTGTAGCTTTTCTATGTGATAGAATTGGCAAAACAATAAAGCTCAGAACCTATTTCTCTTTGGTCTCGTGTGGAGTTTGCCATACTTTATTTCCTTTGCATTTATACTTTCTGGGGGTGGAGCAAGGGAACCAGCTTCAAGTTTTCTCTAGGATGCCCCTCAACAGTCTGTAAAACTCACAGCTCAAAAATATGTTTGGGCTTTTCATGTATTTGACATTTGGACTGCAATTCCCAGTATCCTATAGCCAGCCTTGAATTTACTATAGCATGTTCAAAACAAGCAGAATAATGGAATTGAGTGATGATTCATGGGGCCCATTGATTTGAATGTCATGATGAATTACGTTAAAACAATAATGAATCTGTCTGAAAACATTATAAGCATCTAGTGCACGTATGTATTACAGCTGTCCCGAATTCTTTCAACAGAACAAGCTGTTTAGACAGTCTAATGGATGAGGATGAAAAAGACAGGGCAAAGAGGTGAGTACTTGGCTTCTTGAAAATTTAATTGCTTACTTGACAAAGCTAAACATCCCCCCCCCCCCCATACACACACACAATTAACAAATCAAAAGAAAAACAACAAGATGAAAGCCTGGCATATGTTGAAAAAGTTTGACTCGTAAGGCACTTCTCTGTGCCGTGATTTTATTTTATTTTTAAGGATAGTTGACATCTGAAACTTTGCTGGATCCAGTGATGGTGTTGGTTTTCTTTTCATTGATTTTCATTGGAATTTCTATATGGCTTTCACTTACACTGAAATACTTTGCTGGAGGAAAACAGGAAGGGTGACAATAAGATAGTCAAGTCAATATGCTGCAATCATAATATTCAGTGTAAATCTTGTTTTGCTGTGTGTCTAGTAGTAGCACTCTTTTATGTGTAGTACAAGGGTCTTTTCCCCCTGTACTACAGGTACAGTGAAAATCTTCATCACTTGATTAGGTAGAAATAATGTTTTTCTATGTCAGTTTTTAGTCTTTCACTTCCATGGTGAAGTGCTACTTTTCATATTAGCACATCATAGTAAGATATCGTAGCGATAGCAAACATTTTGCTTCTGTTAATACTTCCTTTCTGCTCCTAGGGCTTCACGTAACAAGTCTGAAAAGAAGAGGCGCGATCAGTTCAACATTCTCATCAAAGAGCTCAGTTCTATGCTTCCAGGAAACACCCGTAAAATGGACAAAACAACAGTACTTGAAAAAGTCATTGGCTTTCTTCAGAAGCACAATGGTAACCAATACAAACAAGCCTCAAATAGTCATGGCATTACCATCTTGCTATCAGTTTGTTGCCATTGATAGCGGTAAATCTTGCTCAAGCAGTCAGGATTTCACAATATAAGTTTGTAATCACAGTAGCAGAGAGATTATTAATTTTTCTGAAATAATATAGCATCAAGGTACCACCAAATTTGTAACATGTAAACTAGAGTCAGCAGATTCATGAATAAAGTCAGCTCCAGTTCTAATTTTTGCAATAGATAGTGAAGCCAAGCCACAAGTCACTCTTGTGTTTTGATTAATACTAACTGAAGGGACATAGATGTATCACCTGAGACAATATGCTGAACTAGTTTTGATAAACATATTTGCACAACCAAAAAGAATGCTCATCCCATATATTGGCTTTGAATCAAACATTGTCATATTTGGAAACGCCCTCCTGCTTTCAGGCCATCTTATGTGACTTAACAGCTTAAATAGGCAACTTTACAAGTTGTGACTAGCTTAAGGCTCATTGATTACAAATGGCATACTCAGACTGGAATTTGTTTGGGCCTTTACAAATGTGTAATATAGCAACATATCACATTTTCGTATTAATGATTCCTACATATCCTCTAATTTAAGGTCCAGGCAATCGCACAGTCTGCACATACAGGAAAGCTGCTGCTGCTGCACCCAATAAGGTCCATTTTGCTGTTTTTAAGGAAGCAGGTAGATCACCTTCTCCTTTTGTGAGTGATCTCTGATGTGAGACAGGATTGTGACAAGAGGCCTGCTTCTGCTGGCTGCACCAGATATCGCTCACAGGAGGGAGTGAATCCATCTTTCAGCTGCTTCATGATAAACAGAGGAACAAACACCTGTTGATTACAGCAGCTGCATCCCAGGGCTCTTCCACACAGCCCTATATCCCAGAATATCAAGGCAGAAAATCCCACAATATCTGCTTTGAACTGAGAGTAATCTGAGTCCACAGTGCCATATAGTTTAAAGCAGATAATGTGGGATTTTCTGCCTTGGTATTCTGGGATATAGGGCTGTGTGGAAGGGCCCGCAGTAAGTGGAGATAGGGAATGGGAGGCTTGGATCAGAATTTACAGCTCTATGTTGTTTAGACATATAATCATAAACAACATCACTTTTTTTAAATCACTGGAGCGTTTTTTTGGGGGGGGCACAATAAACATAAATGTCCTAATCATCTGTTGTTATTGTTCTGAATTATTTCTTCTAGTTAGAAAACATTAGGCTAGATTTATTATTTTATCATTTGAAATTATTTTGTTTGTCAATAAACTTTAATTTTTGAGTCATATTCTACAATGCTTCTATTATTGCATAGTTATCCACACTGTGGATTTGCAACAACATGTCAAAGATCCCTCTACTCCAGGCATGGGCAAACTTCGGCCCTCCAGGTGTTTTGTACTTTAACTTTCACAATTCCTAGCAGCCGCTAGGCTATTAGGAATTGTGAAAGCTAATGTCCAAAACACCCATGCCTGCTTTACACATTACACATTACAAGAGAGAAAGGTGTACAGGTACAAGCAGGGAATTCCATCCACAGTTGCTATTATTCTGTTGTGTGCACCTTTCTTTCAAAAATGGGTTTTTCCCACTTGTGTTAGTGATGTTATGTGCCTGCCATATCACATCTACAGCCATATGTTTGATATGATTAGCCATGTCCACCATTACCCTCAACTATTATTCTAGATAGTAGATGAGGACCTCATACTACACAAGGTTTTCCAGGGCTAGACTCTATTTCTGTAGAGGGAGACAAGAACCTGTATTGTGTTGTTCATCTCAAGTAGAGTTGTCCCATTATATCTGTTTCTTTAATAAACATAACTGCAGACCTATCATTCAGCAGCTGATTAAATGAGTTTAGTGGAGACTAATCAAGTGGTTTGAGGCTGAGAATGACATCAGCCTTATGCCCAGGTGTACCTCCTACCCAGTTTTGCTTAACACCATCCACCTTTCACATTTCTCAAATTAAGAAGCAAATCCCCAAATAGGAAGATATGGTTGCTAGGCAGCTGTGAATTCCGACACACAGATACACATTAGTAAGGGGGATAGAGTGTAATTACACGCCCTTCCTTCCCTGTGTTTTCCTCTGCTTGACCTTCTTGTTAGAACTTGACCCTGTGTCATTAGTATTTGGCAAAAGATTTTGTTGATACATTTTAGTTGAAGGAATGAGGTTACCATTATCTCATCAACTCTTCTAATACAAGAGGAGAACATTCTTCCCACTCTAGAAAATTTCTGATGTGTGACCAGAGGTTGAAAACAATGGCTGGAATTCACTGCCACAGTTAGGAATGTGTAACTTAGATTTATGCATTAGTAAAAAAAAATCTTATTCATGGTCCCTACATATTCATACTTGTGACATTTATCACAACCATGACTACTTCCACACAGCTGAATAAAATCCCATATAATCTGCTTTGAACTGGAATATATGGCAGTGTGCTCAGATAACCCAATTCGAAGCAGATATTGTGGGATTTTCTGCCTTGATATGGGTTGTATGGCTGTGTGGAAGAGCCCCATGTTAAAGGTTCAGAAGTCCTGCTTTAACAGCCAGAGGTCTGTTCTCCTATCAGTTGGAGAGCAGCACACTGAGGTTTCCACTCGGGTTCTGCCAGCGATCTCCAGGGTCAGGAGGAATTGTAACATGGATCCTGCTTTTGGTTGTCACACCAGAGATCACTTGAGGAAGGGGTTTAAAATGTCAGAAAGCTGTTACCAATTTATTTCTGTTTCTTACAGTCGCTACTGCCTAGTAAAGCAGGATCAGGGCAGTTTTTGAACCAAATGGAACAAGTTAGGGCCCCGTCTGGACTGCCATATAATGCAGTTTCATAATGCAGTTTAATGGCATTGAATTGGATTATATGAGTCTGCACTGTCATATAATGCAGTTCAGTGCAGTTAAACTGCATTATATGACATTGTAGATGTGGTCTTAGACACTAACTGATCTAAGATTTTGACCATTAGTGTTTTTTAAAATTTTAAAATAGTACCTGATTAGTGTTTTTGGTACGTTTTAAAGCTTTTGAAATGATTTTAAATTTAAAAATATATAAAATTCATCAACTCATTTTAAAACTCACTTCCTCTTGGAATGGAGGACACACAGCTGGCCCAAACCCCGGGTTTTTGCAGGAGGCGTAGCTAGATGCTCTCCCGTGCTGATCTGAGATCAACAGAGGTGGGCAGGGACACTGCCAGCCTTCCCTCCCCTGCCCTCAATTTCCCCCTCCACTTAGTAGAGGAAGGCTCTGTTTGAGGCATGGAGCCTTTCTCTCCTCCCATCTGTCCCTTGGAAGAGCTGAAAGAGGGCTTTGGGGAGGGGAAGGGGATTCTACTTCCAATGCCCTCTGTTGGCTCTTGTATGGAGAAGGGAGAGGGGAAAAGGCTCCAGGCATCAAATGGAGCCTTTCGCGGTAAATTGTGAGGGGTTTAAGTGGATTTACCTGAAACATCATCTGGACGCCTCAGGCCAATGAGTCTTTTAGCCTGAGTTTTAGGGCTGTGTAGAAGGGCCCAAATTTTCATCCATGTCAAACTCTTATAATGGTCAGGGTCTTTTTGTCAAATTGGTTCTTTAATTTGCACCTCTTATTGGTACATTCTGTTTGTACATAACTTTACTTATGGCTAAATATATAATATTGTTTCTGTATTTGTTTAGAATTCTCCACACAGACAGAGATTTGTGACACGCAACAGGAATGGAAGCCTTCCTTTCTCAGCAATGAAGAATTCACTCAGTTGATGCTGGAGGTGAAAAATGCAATTTTTGGAACAATGTGAATATGGACATTTTTCCAAAGTAAATGGTGGCTGTACACTGCAAATTAGACACTTTTAGGCCCCTTCTACACTGCCCTACATCCCAGGATCTGATCCCGGATTATTAGATCCTTTGAACTGGATTATACGAGTCTACACTGCCAGATAATCTTGGATAAGCAGATAATCTGGGATCAGATCCTGCCATAGAGGACAGTGTGTAAGGGGCCTTAATATACAGGTCAAGAGCTCCATATCTTCATAAGAGCAAATGGTCTCTCTCTTGAGATTGGTTGCTTTCTTTCATGCCAGTTTCTGAAAATAGAGCTTAACAAGGCCGTTGATTACACTATGTAACAAAATTTGAAAAAAATCTGTTCCTGGTTTGAATGTGTTCTTTCCTGTTTAGTTGTACAGTGTTCGCTTTGAAAGTAGTTGTTATACTCCAGAAACTTCATTTTTGTGCCTGAGGGTAAATGCTATTGTTTCCTTCAGTTTAAGCACTTTATTTGTAATTTTCCTTAATGAAAATATGCCATTTTTTAGGTTAATAAACTTTTTCCATATTTTATAATAGAACCAATTAGGAAATGACATTCATAGGCCAAGAACAAAAATCGTGTTACATAGTATTGTTGGCCCGCTTTGTTGGTGCTTTATATTTTGTACAAAATTGCTTTGGAAACTAACATAGAATCTTAATGTGCTATGTAGGGAATTATTTTGCGTTCATTTCCAAATCACCTGACACATTAACCTAGTTAATTATAACTGTACTAACAATAACTTACATTCATGTTGTGACATCTAAGAGCAGATGACCTATTGTTAGATTCTTTGTAGACATTTAGAGTGTTCATTCATTCATATTTGTTTTTCTTAGCATGCTTGTTCTGAAACAGTTTTTGAGGCTCCTAGGAGATTTATATAGTACAATATAAACACCTCTTGAGTTGTTTGCTGTTGTGTTATTTTACAGCTTCATAATAGAAGTTGAGTGTCCTTTATCTGGAATTCCAAAAACTAAACTATTCCAAAATCCAAAATTGCCCATATGGGTGAATGAGATAATGACACCTTTGTGTTGTCGAAGGCTTTCATGGCCAGAATTGTGGGGGTTGGTAAATGTAAATAAACAGAAGCATTACCATAGTTTTTGAAGCAAGATATACCCTGCAGTATAATAAAGTGTCGCTTGGGCTTGTGTAACAAGTAACATTATCTTTACTTCAGTTCAAAAGGTCAAATAGCGCAACAATATATACAGCAGTCTCTGAATTCATACAGAGAACAGAGGGAATAAATAGTTCTTTTAAACAGTCTTTTAAAAATGCTTCATGCCTTAAAAATGATCAGGCTTCAGAGAGTTGGCAGCCATTTCCTTGCTAGCTGTTTCCAGACAGCACTCTCTTCACTCTCCAAAGTGAAAGTGGCAGTCAAAACTGTTTGCCTCAGCAGCAAACCAGAGACAGCAGCCAATCAGAACTCTAGCTCCTGGTATGCTCAGCCAGTCAGCTGCCAGCACATATCTTTTCAGTCAACCCATTACATCATGGCATCTCTTTAGAAATTCTCACAAGAATCACTGGGTTGCTGTGAGTTTTGTGGGGCTGTATGGCCATGTTCCAGAAGCATTCTCTCCTGATGTTTCACCCACATCTAAGGGTGCCTGCCATATATGTGGGTGAAACATCAGGAGAGAATACTTCTGGAACATGGCAATACAGCTCCACAAAACTCACAGCAACCCAATGACACCTTTGCTTTCTGATAGTACCCAATCTTTTTTCATGCCCCAAACTACTTGAAATATTATACAAAATTACTGCCAGGCTATCTGTATAATGAAACATAAATTAATTTTGTGTTCATACTTAAGTCCCAATCCCCAGATATCCCAGTATTTACACATATGGAAAAACATGTATTTTAAACTCCAAAACAATGCAGCATTAAAAAAAAAACTCCTAGTCCTAAGCATTTCAGATAAGCAAAACCCAATCTGCAAGAAACTGGAGAAGATTGTTAGTGTTTGAATGGGTAATACAAAGTTCAAGCAGAAAAACTTTATTTTCCATTTTAAAATGTGTCTTTTGATAAAATTGAAAAAAAATATCCTGGAATAATAATATTCAATCATCATCATCATCTCCTTTACTCCTCTAAAAGAGACTCAAAGTGGTTAACTGTAGTAAAAACAAACTAGATAACATTTATTTTATAATGATATCATTTGTATTAGGATGATGATTAGCTGTAAGCTTTTTTGTGTCAGAGAGCCTCCGTGTTTAACAGCTGTGCAATAAGCAAAATTTCGGAAGATGATTTTTTGCTTTTCATCATTGCTTATTCAAAGAAAGAATTTGTTTGCCTGTCTTTCAGCTCCTTTTCTACTGATGTAGCTATTTCTGCGAGTCATCTATATAAAAAATATACTGTCCTCTGTTGCATAAACAGTAAACTGGGAAGCAAAAATAGAGGCATGACTGAATACATTCACATGATTATTCCATAAAATTCTGATGAGTGTAAATTGCATAATGGATTCAAATGAAATATATTATTTACTTACAAAAAACCTTGTTAACTCATCCAACACAAATATCTCTGTCTGTCTCTTCTTTGGATTAAGGGCTGCTTATTGTGATATATGGCTTGAATAAAAGGGTAGGAGTCTGTGGGATGAGGACTCAGATTTCCATGCAGTATTGGAAACACACTGAGTGGCTTTGAGCAAATCATACTCCCCTCAGTAAAAGAAGAAAGCAATAGCAAACTTATAGAAACATAGAGTTGGAAGCGACCTTGTGGGCCATCCAGTCCAAACCCCTGTCAAGAAGCAGGAAAACTTCCTCTGAATGAATAAAGCTTGCCAAGAAAAAAAAACTATGATAAGACCACCATAAATTGGAATTGACATAAGGGTATATGACAACAATAACAACAACAATAATTGGAAGCATGTAGGCATGTTAAGAGTATCCACTAAATTTGCCACCTTTTCAGTGAGAAATTTCTCGGTCATAGGATACTTCCGCTTCTTTTCAAGCATGGAGAGCTACTGAGTTCATCACATGAGTTAAACTACTTCCAGCTGTCAAAAGAGGCAGAAGTGTCCAGAAAAGAGTGAACTCTGGCAATTGACCTCATCACATTGAGAAATTTCCCCCTTGTAGGACACTTCAGCCTCTTTTCAAGCATGGAGAGGTATGGAGCCCATCACATGTTCCAGGGTTGAAAAGAGGCAGAAATGTCCTGCAAGGAGGGAACTCTGACCATGGACCAGCAATTGTGTTCAGAGTTCCTGCCTCTTATTGCACTTTACTCCCATATTTACAACTGAAAAAAAGTGGGATGGGAATCATCATAAGTTTCCTGTCCTATTTCATTACCCAACCATCAGCAGTCTGTTGTATCCTATGGGCTTTGATGCAGAACCATAGGATCCTGTAGAAACAAATGGTTTTAACCTGGATCAGTATCTCTTCCATCCTATGGGCTTTGATGCAGAACCATAAGATCCCATGGAAAGAAATGGTTTTAAACTGATGTCAGTCTCTTTTAATGTAAGAGGCTTTGGGCAGGGCAAGGGGTCTCTTGGTTTTTGTTTGTCCTGATTAATAACAAAGAAGTAATACTGACCTTGTGATGAGTGTAAGATGAATTTATTGCCAGCTCTTAAATTTTCGCATGTGAGTGTGATGGAGAGGCAGAATGCTGAAAGGGACTGCTGATGATATAAGAGGGGCAGCCACCCTTGGTTTCCCCTCTCAATATGATAGTAGGTCACAATACGAAGAAATCTCCCCCAACCTTCTCCCTCCAAACTCCACAGCTTCAGTTGCTAAATTTTCTGTTACTGCAGTGAAGAGGGATTAAACCCAGATATTTCAAGGAGCAAATTAAAAAAAAATTTCAAAAAGCTTCAACTAAAGTGCAAGACAAAACATTGAAACACCCCGTATAAATGTGCCGCTTTCAAGCACAGAAGCTCTTTGTGACATTATGTTTAAGATTCTGCTGTTCTGATCTAATTAGAAAGTTCTGATCTACATTGGAAATGTGTGAATCGGTTCACAGTAAATAACACTTGCACTGTGGTTTTTTTTTTATTCTTTCCATCAGGCATTGGATGGGTTTGTTATAGCTGTTACAACAGATGGAAGCATTGTATATGTTTCTGACAGTATTACTCCTCTTCTTGGACATTTACCAGTGAGTAGTTCTTGCACATTTCTTTTGTAGCCTAGATGTGCTCAGCTTGTTACAAGGCATGAGACTTTCTTACAAACACAGCAAGCTACAGAAGCAGGACTGGACAGTAAAGGAAATATTAAACATGCCCAGTTTAAGTTAGCTTTCAATTTCATCCTCCAGTTGGTATTAGAAATAACAAAGGGAACTGTTTCTTGGCTTTAGATCTGACCAAGGAAGAAGAAGTGGTGGATGAAATGAACATGGAGGGAATCTTGGGGGGAGAAGAAAAATATTATGTCATCTTCAAATTCATTGTAGCAAGGACTGTGAAAATTATTGGAACCTTTGCAAAGACTGTTGTCAAAGAAGAGTTGAGTAGATTGCCATGGCTAGAAATTCGGAGAGAAAAGGGATTGAAAGAGATGAAAAACTGCAAAAAGTGGAATATTGCAAATGTGAATTACTTTAATGAGCAGGAAAAGGGAGAGATATCTAATATTCTGAGGAGCTGGGACGTCAAAATATAATTGGAGTTCGGGAGGAATAAAGTTGACAACAGCAAAGTAGAAAAAACAGTGAGAGAAATGTTAAAAACACCAAATCCAAACTCTGTTGAGGCTATTGTGAAAGACCAAGAACAAAAAACAGGCTTTGGGGTACATTTATAGTGAGGAAAAATGCAAGGGAGGAGTAATTATGTTTCTTGGGGAAAATGACAAAGTGATAACAGAGCAGAGAGAAGGTAAAACTACTCATCTAGGTCTGTTTAATTGGATTAGTGGTTTCATGCTTTAAAAATCTTTGTACATTCTGTTTATCTATTTTTGACTTATACTGGTAAGCTTTAGATTCCATTTGGGAGAATACTCAGTTTACTTCAGTTAGATGTAGAATTATTCTTTTTCTGTCTGCAAATGAAGAGTGCTGAATATCAGGCTATCTTTAAAGTGGATCCTACCTTTCTCCTAATAATTAAATGCTCATCTCGAATTGTGTCTACCGTCTTTCAGAGATCCCATGCTTTTTCACCATTTTAAAAATATATTGGATAAAAGAGGTTTGTTTATCATATCAGCCAACAGTTTGAGGGTGAGAAGGATAGCTAATGCAGGTTGAGCCTCCCAAATTTGAAATGCTTGGGACCAGAAGTGTTTTGAAGAGTGGCTAGTGAAATAAAGCTCATAACATTATACTAAAGAATAACAGTGTTAAAGAAAGCCTGATTTTCAGCACTCTTCCTTTGCAGACAGAACAAGAATAATTCTACATCTATTAACTGAAATAAACAGAAAGACTATTGCTGACCTCAACACATTAGAGCAATGGTTCCCAACCTGTGGTTCGTGAACCACCCGTGGCCCGCAAGAACTAAAATATGGTTTGTAGCCTCACTGTTACTACACTATTGCAATGAGCTTGACTGGTTGTGTGAAACCCTCTTATGGTGCTGAGGTTTATTAAATATGGTTTTATGTCAGCGATCAGATGGAGACTACTGGATGGCATATGTTCTGAATCAGAAACTAGAGCTGATGTGGTCTATCCAATGTAATTTTCTGAATCAGCACCCCAAATAACCAAGTCAAATCTAAAGTTGACCAAAAACTGATTCATAACCATTTTGATACTGATGTTGGAGAGTGGTCCCTGGTCAAAATAAGGTTGGGAACCACAGCACTAGAGCATGGATCCACTTTAAATCCAGTTTCTGCCTCCTGCATAATTCTGGGGCTTGTAGTTTAGGGAGGGGCCTTTAAACTGCTCAGACAGAGAGGTCCTCGGCCTCACTAAACTACAAACCTCAGAATTCTGAGACAGGCAGAAACTGGATTTAAAGTGGATCCATGCTCTTCTGGTGTGATGAGACTGAAAGGGCTATATATTAGATTTATTCCACATACCCAATATTATTTTTTTACATTAACTTGTTCTTAATCATAGCGGTTAAGATAAGCAACATGTGTCCCTCTAGATATTGGTGCATTCCAACTCCCACCATTCCTAGCCGGAGAACAATGGTAACTAATTATGGAAGTTGTAGTTCAACAACACGTGGAGAAGCCTTGCCTTTTTATATCCCAACTACCAAAATTCCTACGGACTGGTGATATATTTATATAAATTTATAGACCTGCCTACATACAGAATCACATAGGCCAGTTATCCTTTGAGTGTACATGTTTGTGTATAGAAGGAAAACTATTGAAAGTTTTTTGTTTTTCTGATACATATTGTTTTGTCATTTACAGTCTGATGTAATCGACCAGAATTTGTTAGATTTCCTTCCAGAACAAGAACAGCCAGACATTTTAAAAATATTATCATCTCATATGCTTTTGCTAGACACTGTAGCATCAGATTACTTAAAATGTGAGTATTTCTTCATATAGATTAAAATGTCATTAGGCTATTTTATTTACTTACTTACTTACAGTATTTATATTCCACCCTTCTCACCCCACAGTGGATTCAGGGCGGATTACAATGCATGTATACATGGCAAACATTCAATGCCATTTAGACATACAAAATATATAGATAGACAGAGGCAATTTAATATTCCAGCTTTCCGGCTTTATGAGAGTATATTCAATTCCAGCCACAGGGGGAGCTGCCGCTTCACTGTCCACTTGTGACACCGAGACCCTGACGGAGTACTTCCTCATTCTTACCCATGCTGCTGGAAGGTTTTATGGTGTCGTAAATTAGTTAAATTAGCCTCCTCGCATAATGCAGTACCTAAATTTCCTACTTGACAGATGCAAGTGTCTTTCGGGCTGCATAGGTTGACAGCAAGCTATTAATGGTCAGGAGCTCACTCCGACTCGGGCTGTCTTCGAACTCATGACCTCTTGGCCAGTAGTGATTGAATGTGTCTGGCTACTAACTAGCTGCACCACAGCCCAGTCCTAATTAAAGATACAAAACTAAAAGGAACAATAAAATGATATTATAGATACAAAACTAAAAGGATCAGTAAATCAACTACTAACATGAAATCAGATTACAGGAGTAATTAGCCAAATGTATTGGATTTTGTCATGGCAAGAGGAAGCAGCTTCCAGTACAAAATCATTGAAATGTAAGATTAGTATCTCCTACAAAGGTCGGCACAAGTTATCTTTGGAAGTGTTTTGTCCACACATATTTCACCTTGAAGTTTATTTCATATTATTTTCACTTATATTCATAAATATTTTCATGAAGTGCATATTTATTATTGTAAAAAATAATTTGTTCTAATACATAATAGGATAGATATGGGAGAGAGACAAGGGATACACTTTCAGTAATAGGATTAGTACATTATTAAAATGTGTTATTTTGTGGTTGCTTGTCAATTAGTTGCAAAGTAGAAAGTAGACTAGTGCACTGCCCTGCTTTTTACTTGAGCCTGTGTGATTTATTTGCTGGAATGATACTGAATACTTGGGTAAGAGCTAAACCCAATCCTTTTAAGTATGCATGAGAAATGACTATTTTTAGTTATGAGCAGCCTACATTCATGCAGAGGTTCATCCAACAAAATATGAACCTTTGTAGGGTTCCAGAAATAATAATTGAATTAATTAGGTTTCTTCACAGTTTAATTTGTTTTAATTTACAAATAATTATTATTATGTCCTTCTTTCCTTTTTAATAATCCAAGCTGATGATGATTTAGAATTTTACTGTCATCTTCTGAGAGGAAGTCTGAACTCCAAAGACATTCCAACGTATGAATACATAAAATTTGTAGGAAACTTTCTGTCTTACAGTCATGGTAAGTCTATTCTGTAAATATAAGCAATGATTTGAATCAACATAGGACACTTCAACCTCTTTTTTGTGGTGGTTGATGGTTGTGCTTGTACAGAACAAGCAGTTTACTTCTGAGATGCAGTCATGTCTGGAACAGTGGTTATTTCTAAGGGAGCTTCTACACTGACACAATCCAACTTGGAACCAGTTCAAATGGAAATGGTTTTGCTGTGAGGTGATTAGATTGACAGGTTTGGAGACTGCTTGAGGCCAGGTGGATGATTACGTTGAACATAAAACCTGTTTTTTCCCCTCCCCATTTCCAGGAGAGGTGCGCATCAGTGCACAAGAGGCAGAGGGGTGAAAATAAATAAGGGAAAGTGACAGTTAGCAGCAGAGGTCATTAGTCTCCCTCCCAGGGGGTTGATTAGCCCCCTGCTGCCCAGCCATGCTCTTGAGATGTTTTTCATCAGCCCTGGTTTGAAACTCTTTACTATGCTTCAACAGGGACAGATATCTACATTGTTCTCTGTATTTTGTGAAGTAGATTTTGCCCTGGATCTGGGCTACACAGGGATCAGCTGCAATGCAATTTTGGCTGAACTTAGACATTCTGGTGACTTTTAAAAATGCTCTGTATTTCCCTTAATGTACACTACAGTGCATATTGGTAGTGCGTCTTTTGTAGCCACCATGATCTCGAGTCAGCCATGAACTGCATTATATGGTCAGCGTAGGAGCGTTACGAGTATATAGGACTCTTTTTTTGAAGACCCCACTGGAAGATTTTAACCTTAAATTGGCCTAGAATATTATACATAAATATAAGTTGTATAATTTGTATTTTTAAAGCAACTAGTCATATTTTGATTGAATAAGAAAGGAAGTACGGTAGGCGCATGGATCTGACGTGGTTTGGTTCTAAAAGTCTCTGTAGATATCAGCATTCATGGATGCTCAATTTCTAAGTTGTCCCTTGTATTAATAGCAAAATCAAGGTTTGCCATTTGGAATTTATGTGGGAGGGGTTTATTTTCAAGTTGTGGATGACAACCTGTGGATGCAGAATCTATGGGTATGGAGGGCCAACCAAAACAAAGTGCCTGTTATTCCCTGATGACATAATCAAGACTATTCCACTACGATCATTTGCAGTCTCTATGCTTTTTTATTCTACTTTACTTATTTTATGGTAGAACTTGGTTTATAGAGTGAAGAGGAGAAGTGCTTTCATTATTTTTCAATATAGTATTTTATATTCATTGAGTATAACTTTCTTACTGTATGGAAAACCATACAGAAAGTGCTATGCAGCAATATATAAAAGAAACCATTCTGTAGTCTTCTCCATCTTCTTTCCGTTTCTCCATGCTGCTGAAATGGAAGCCCAGGGAGCCTGTTACATGATGCAGGGTGCCTTCCAGTGGGACTCCATTTCAACAGAATGGAGGAACGGAGACCAGAGTGCCTGCGGAAGAGTCGGATGTTACCCTACTCCTAATGGCACAAAGCAGAGAAATGCGAGGGACCTAAACGAAGAAAGGATGTAAGAGGGCAACAAATAGACCTGGATGAGAAGAAACAGAGCAAAACAGTTCCCTGCTGTCCCCTTCTTTCCCCCACGTTCCCTCGCTTTCCTCCTGCCTGTTTGATAAGGTTCAAAGACTACTATCTTTCAGATATTTCTTTGAATTCTCTCCAGGAATTTTTTACTTCAAATGTTGCTGGTATTACTGTTCAGCAATTAAAAAAGAAACAACCTCACTGTGTCTGTCAGAAACCCCAGTTTCACAATATGCAAAACTTCATTGATTGATCATAGCTTTTCAGGTTTATTTGTATAGAGCAGAGGTCCTCAAACTAAGGCCCGAGGGCCGGATACGTCCCTCCAAGTCATTTACTCGGCCCTCACTCAGTGTCAACCTAAGTCTGAAATGACTTATCTCATCGGCCAAAAGCAAGCCCATTGAAATACTAATAAGTTTATATTTGTTAAAATTGTTCTTCATTTTAATTATTGTATTGTTTTAAAGTGTTTGCACTACAAATAAGATATGTGCCGTGTGCATAGGAATTCATTCATGTTTTTTTTAATTATAAATTTAAACTGGCCCTCCAACAGTTTGAGGGATAGAGCCTATATTATCTTATTCTCTAGCCTATAAAATCCTATATGCATGATAGTTCTGCTTCATGGAGGTAACAGACCAATCCTTTGCATGTGTTCTTGGAAAATAAATCAGACTAGGTCAATTGGACTTATTGCTAGTTAAGCGGGTATAGGATTGCAGCCAAATGTTGTATTTATACATATAACAATACACTAATATAGATTAAAATCAATCAGTAAAAGGGTTCCTTCTACCTCCACACAGCCACTTTTAGAAAATGAGATGAAGGCCTAGCATTAGTTTCATCACACTGCCTTGGGATTGTATTTCCTTCCTTTGAGGTAGAATGAGATGTGGAACAGCTGTGCAATAACAGGAGATTTTTAGGTGGAATAGCAGATAATTTATATTTATAGAACAGGCATGCACAGACACACAATGGGTCCATGGCAACTGCTTGGTTTCATTAAATACATTGGAATAGCAAAATGGTGTCCCTTATATAAAATGGCAAAATCAGTGTTTGATTTTTGGATTTTTTAAAAAATATTCTTAAACTGTGGATAGCTGAATCCACAGCTTCGGAATATGGAAGACCAACTGTGTGCATATGTAGGCTATACAGACATACATAACTTGTAAAATATGTTCAACTCATATGTCTGAGAGATATCAAATATCAGTGCATTTCATATGTATAAAGTAGGCATTGGGAGCAAATGCACTAAGAGGCACAATTCTCTGTCTTGTAATTTTCTTATATAGTGCCTATATCCACTTATAATGGATTTGATGGTGCTGTTCCAAGAGGTTACAGAACACCACTAGGAAAACAAGTCTGCTTTGTTGCTACTGTTCGGCTGGCAACACCTCAGTTTTTAAAGGCAAGTGTGTATGTCTTAGAGTCTGTTAAGTCTTAGCGACAATATCAATCCTTTGAGTCAAGTGTCTCACCCATTCATGAGCAGAGGGACAGATGTTGCCTTCAACTTTGGTTGAATGAAGAAAACTAGTGGTTTGCAAACTACTTAAATACATAGTTCTTCTGCTAGTTAGATTTGGGATGATGTAAAGACTATGATGCCAAATATTTGTAGATGTGGAAAAATACAAAAAGCAGTAATGTGCCAGTGAGAGGTTCCATGGGTTAATGAAGGCCATTTTCAAGTTGACATCTTCCCATGTTGCTAAAATGCAGATTTGAGGGGGGAGGGGATATTTTTCAGAAGCTGACTTTTCCCATTATTTTATATTTAATCAAACAAAAGCTCATCACAGAGACTGATTTCTGTTGTAATTGTAGTTTTTAGGAGTGTATTCCATCAAAATCTTGTTATTGTCATGATTAGCCTCTATGCCTTTAATTTAAAACACCCAGACCTAGAGGTTCTCTATTTAGGGATAAGCAACAATGTGTTAATTAAGTTTTAAAGCTTTCATCTGTACTTGATGTCACTTGTGTAACATGCCCTTTGTGTGTTAAACATAAAATGCATACATTAAATTATATAATTTTCTAAAAGAATTGTGCTATATACAGGATGCAAACTTGCTAAGATTGTAAACTCTAGAGTTGTTATCTTCTAGAATAACAACTATAGAGATTGTTAAAACTGATAAAACGTGAAAATAGATGTATTAGTCATTTGTACTACTTGTATTAATATCATTTATTTCTAACACAGGAAATGTGCATAGTTGAGGAACCTTTAGAAGAATTTTCTTCAAGACATAGTTTGGAATGGAAGTTTTTATTTCTGGATCACAGGCTAGTAATTGTATTTGAAATTTTACTTGACCATTCGCTATGCTTCATGAGGCAGATTTTGAAAACAATGCCGTTGGTGGAATTGCATTTCTGTTTTGCTTTTTAAGGAGCAAAAGTGGATATTCCTTTGCAGGAAGCCTCCTTCGAAATGTCCCAAAGCTACAAAATGCTAACTTACTGTGTATGATTACCTGTCCACCACGTCTCTGCTTCAGATAGTGTATGAATTGTCAGCAGCCTCCCCCATCCCCCAAGTGATTTCAAAGCCACATGCTTATTCTTGGGGAAAATGTAGCTACATCCCTGGAGAGGGCAAGAATAGCTGCTGTGTGATTTGAAGTAGAAAAATGGCATGAAGGGAATAGGTAACACTTTCCCATGTTCTTTTATCTTCTCTAAACTGTCGTCTCTTAAAATGGGTCTTGTAATAAGAAAAAAGACTTGAGGCTCTTACTCTGTTAAACCCCTGAAGCAAGAAACACCTGTATAGGTCTAAGAAGGAACCTGCTCTTGTTCCTTCAAAGGTTTACTGACATACCGATTGCTTGTGCTAAGGGTGCCAGAATTCCCAATTGAATCAATTGCATAAGGTGAAGCTCTGGGAATTCCTCTCAGCCTTGTTTGTATGCTTTCTCTTTGCAAAAAGAGATAGTAGGATCCTTGAGATCAAGCATCAATACGCAAAAGTGCTCAGGAAGCTGTCATTGGCTTAAATTGTTCAGTAATGTATTCTATGCTGGCTAACTGGTAGCTAATCTTGAGATAGTTCCACATGGAGATGAGGCTCAGGAAAGTTACTTTTTGTGGCTGTAATATCCAGAATTGTCCACCCATTCCATCCAGTGGCTATGCAGAATGTGTACAGGGTGCTTGGTCAACAGCTAAATTCTAAAAGACTGACCAACATAATTCAGATTTCAGGGAAGAAGATGCAGAGGCCTTAAGAGTCCAGTCTAAATCATATTGGAGGTACTTGGGGGAAATAAAGTAGATGCTCAATCGCAGGCCTAGGTCTCTTTCCTAATAAGCAATTATCATACTATAATTTCACTTTAATTGCCCTAAGTCTGTCTTGTAGAAAGCTATCTAGAACTCTTTCCCACAACTGTTATTTGCTTTAATGGACTTTAAGATATGCCACTTTCAAAAGATCTTGAAAGTTTTTTCTCCAGATGATTGGAGTTCTGTCTTTAATGATATAACATAGATGCATTGCGCTGCTTCACGTCGTAATGCTCCTTAAAGTTTTTTTAAAACATCTGTTCATTTTGCAATGCTGTCTGGGAGGGGAACATGCTGGCTGGGAATTTTGGGAGTTAAGAATCCAAAAAAAGTTTCCAAACTCTAATCCCAAGTAATCTGTAACACGCTTTCTTGATACCTTTTCTGGTGTAAGTAGAGGGATGTAGAGATATGTAACATTGCTGCTGGAATTTTTAATCACCTAATACAAATATCTACATTTATTTCTTGATACAGAGCACCACCAATTATAGGATATTTGCCTTTTGAAGTACTGGGTACTTCTGGATATGATTACTATCATGTAGATGACCTTCAGCTCTTAGCACAATGCCATGAACATTGTGAGTATCACATTTCCTACCATCATGGGAATCCAGTATAATATTTGTTTCTACATAAAGAATCAGAGAATGAGATAAATCTTAACACCAAACAACAGCTGTCATCCTATAATCCCTTACCTGGGAGAAAGTCCTATAGAAGTCAATGGCTCTAATGTTGAGGGGAACGTGTAGCATTGTGGTGTATGCACTGATAACATGGCAAATCTGACATTGAACTCAATTCAGGTTAATATTTAATTTTTTATCACGTAATTCCACATCCTTCTTTTAAAGTACTCAGTTGAGACTAACTATTTCTGTCAAACAAGCTAATTCTGGCTATGTATTTTTCTTCATTTGGAGCTACTGCTGTTTAACATGTAAATGGATATGAAATCTCAGGATGAGATGGATATCTGGTGGCCCTCAGAAACGTTTTATGATTTAAAACTGTAGAATGGAATTAACAGAAACCCGAAAAATCCAATATATACTCTTAAATAATGTTTGTCTTATTGCTTAATGGTTTGCAATAGTTCTGTTATTTGTGGTTCTGTTAGTAAGCTGATAAATTATACCAATCAAAATTATTTTTAACTTCCAGGGGTAGGAACTTAACTTCCTAACTTTATCTGCCATGATATGACTCCAGTGTCCATGGAGCTGAATTTGGAATACCTTTGGTGTGATTCTGCTATGATTCTACCCTATGGATCTTGGGATTTGCAGTTTAAGGAGGAGTATTTAGAATTCTCAGCCAAACAATTCTTGTACCTCACCAAACAGCAAATCCCAGCTTCCATACAGTATTGTCAGGACAGTTAAAGTGTCATTAGTATGATAATTACATTGTGTGAAGGGATTCTTGGTCATAGATATGCTAGTAATGGGCACTGCCATGAATTCAAACAATTGACAGTGTAGATTTAAAATCTATGTATCTTTGCATATAGAGGTTCCCCTTTGTTTTTCAACATATAACAACTCCTGAATGAATTAGGAAATTTAAGGCACACCTTTTTCAATTCAGATCCCCTTATACAAACCTGCCTGGGCCCTGAGATCTTTGGGAGAGGCCCTTCTCTCGGTCCCACTTCCATATCAAGGTTGATTGGTGGGAACGAGAGAGTGGACCTTCCTTCCTTCCCAGGAAAGCCAGAATGGCACCCTCCTGCTGTCCTTCTGTTGGCAGGCTAAACACTTTTTATTCAGGCAGGCTTATAAAGATGAAGGTGTTTAAAATCAAGTCAGGGGGTGCTGTGGTTTTAATTTTGAATATTTTTAATGATTTCAGCTGTGAATTTTAATACTAGTTATATGTAATTCTGATTTAATGTTTGCATATCCATATATTTTAAATTGTATGCTAATGCTTTTTATGTCAAGCTGCTTTGAGTCTCCTTTGGGAGAGATAAAGTGGGGTATAAATAATAATAATAATAATAATAATAATAATAATAATAATAATAGTCCTGGGGTCAAATAAACCATGTCTTCAGATGTGCTGTCTAGCACAACCTTCTCATGGGAAGGCAGGATGAGAAATATGATCTTCACTCCACTCAATTTTACTATTTTTGATATATTCCATTTTATGCTGCGAGGCTATGTGCAAGATAGCTTGGCAACTGTGTTTCAAAAAGGGGAATTTATTGTTCTTAGGAAAATTTTGTTTATATTGGGAAGCCTCCAAGAACAAATAACTTTTGTTTGTTTTTTTAAAAAGATTATTTGAAGTGTACATTTTTTCTGCTCACAAACAGTAATGCAGTTTGGCAAAGGGAAGTCTTGCTGCTACCGGTTTCTGACAAAAGGACAACAGTGGATCTGGTTGCAAACACATTACTATATCACTTACCACCAGTGGAACTCCAAGCCAGAATTCATTGTGTGCACCCATACAGTTCTGAGGTATGAGGAAATAAATGAGGTTACTCTTAGGTCAATCATTAGTGTGCCTGAAGTAAACAAGAAGACGTAAACTTGGATTAAGAGACTCATAACTGCTTCCTTATTGCCCTCTCATATGAAAAAGAATTGCTAATTTTGTTTTAAATTTTGGATACATTTTGAATGGCTTGAATATGATAATACAAAGGATCTATATGCCAGTTCAGGAAAGTTTAAATTGTAATTTGTACATTAAAATATGAATTTAGTAGTTCGTTTTATAATGCAACCTTCTGGTTGCACAGTTTTGACAAAACATAACATTGTTTGTTTTGGCAAAGTGTGCCCTTCTTCACTTTCTCCCCTACTTTGCAATGGAGAGACACATGCTGGGTATTATAGACTATATCTGTTTAAAAGACTGATCAAAACTATATAGCAAATGATCTTCATTGCACTGAGGCTGAAAGCAGCTTCTTGCTGGATTCAAAAATAGGCATTCTAAAACAAATATGTTTTATCTAGAATCAGTATTATGAATGGCAGTAACATATTGGCATGCTAATAGGTCTGTAATTTTATTCCCGTCTGTTTGGCACTGTTGTTTTGCATACTATGCAACAACTACATTTTATTTATTAAGTGCATTTGGAATATAGAGGCACACCTAATCATTCTTGCCTGGTATATATACTAAAACACTAAACTTGGTGGCAAACATCATTATTATATGTAGAGATAACATTTCATAACTATATGTAAAGAAGAGCATTCAAAGCCGAAGTTAGCCATACTGTTTGGGGATTTTGGAATTGTAGTCCAAAAATTAACCTTTTCAAGCTCCAATTTAAGGTTCTAGTCATTTCAGTGTAGTCTTGTACACATAGTTAAGCATAAAATATAGTTTAATGCACCATCATATATCCATACATGAAATGTAGAATTTAATAGTGGAATAATTCTAGAAAAAATCATCAACAAATCAGTTTTCAAAACGGTAAAATGGGATATAGATTTCTACAGAAAGTTACAATTTTTCATCAGTTATGCAGATGTTCGAGTGGAAAGACGACGAAACGTGATCTTGGAAGACTCACCTCCAGAAATCATCTCTTCAGTATTAAAGGTATGCTGGAATGGCAATTTTCGGAGTCTCTCTTCCATTTTTTACAAAAGTTCACATATCATCAGTCTTTGAATATTTGCATAATTAGATATCATAAAATGCGAATTAATTGCTTATCTGAGCAAAGGTTGGCTAGGAACATGATTCTGTTTTCCCAAATGAAATGTTAAAAATGAAAGATGTAGTGGAATGCTGGCATATGAGAAAATGGATATTATGTCCTATGAGATACTGCTGTTCCCTTTAAACTATTTGAAGGGAACACATGGTAACACCAGGTGCTGGGCTCAAAACTGTTTAGATAGCTTTAAAATATATGCTACTTCCGTTCGAGTCAGTTGGCTATTGATATCATCTCACACATGCAAATCCCTACTTCCTTTTTGGCTCTGTGTTGCCTCTTCCTCACAGTTATGCTGCCCTTTTGTCTTTTGTTATCCAGTTCAATAACTGATAAGCCTGCTGGGGCAAGCTTGCTCTCTACCGAACTCATATTGAGAATGTTATTGGTTGTCCTGTTGAGCTTGGGGCTGCCATGTCAATATGAGCTGGCATTTTATTATTTATTTATTTACAGTATTTATTTATTTACAGTATTTATATTCTGCCCTTCTCATGCTGCAGGGGACTCAGGGCAGATTACAATGTACGTATACATGGCAAAGATTCAATGCCATAGACACACAACATATATAGACAGACACACAGAGGTTAATTAACTTTCCAGCTTTCCTGGGGGTATTCTGGCCACCAGGGGAGCTGTCGCTTCACTGTCCACTGGAGTACTTCCTCATTCTTTGCTTGTTTGCTTGCTGAAGATTTTTATGGCATCATAAATTAGTTAAATTAGCCTCCCCGCATAAGCGGTACCTAAATTTCCTACTTGACAGATTCAACTATCTTTGGGGCTGCAAAGTTGACAGCAAACTACACAGAATGGTCAGAAGCGCACTTCGATCTGGGCTGACTTTGAACTCATGACCTTTCGGTCAGTAGTGATCTTAATACAGCTGATTCCCAGCCAGCTGCGCCACAGTCCTGGTGTACTTACGGAGGTGTAAATCCAACTTACTCCTGCATAACTCACTTCTTAAGACATTGCAGAGTTCAGAATTCTTTGCTGAATTTGCTCAAGTCCCTTGCTTCAAAAAAACATAGCTGTTGTAGAGCAGGTTGGAGAGAGCAGAGATTTATCCAGTTATATTCCTAGAGTTAGACCAATTACAATGACCTGATTCTCTGGGAGGTCTACAGCTATGCTTTCAGCAACCAGAACATAACAGTAAATAAAGAACAGCACTCAAAGACAGGGGAATTCCAGACAAGCAACAATCAGGGTCAGGTAATCACCTCCCAACAAAGGATTCCCCCAGGGAGTAAGAAGCCAGACCCTAAAACTGCTAGGCCATTAAATGCTAATCAAGATGGTCAAATGAAACATTCACACTTACCTCAAACGGACAAGAGTTTTTTTTCCCACCCTTGACATTCCACAGATATATAAACCCAATTTTCCAACAGACCCCTTAACTTCTGAGGATGCTGCCATAGATGCAGGCGAAATGTCAGGAGATAATGCTTCTGGAACATGGTCATACAGCCCGGAAAACTCACAACAACCCAGTGATTCCAGCCATTAAAGCCTTCAACAATACATTAAACAAGAACATAGTTGAATACTTCTCTGCTTCCCCTGATTTTCCACTGGCCAGACAATGTCATGTGGGAGGGTGCTGCCTCCGCTTAAAATTGGGTGCTTTGGGGGGCTGAGGGAGGGGGGAACATGTCATAGTTTCAGCTTTGTGAAACTTTATCACTTTCCCTGGTCCAATATGCCAGCCGTAGTCTTTTGGAAGCTGCTGCAAATGTACAACTGTTATGAGTCATATTAGAAGAACCAGTCAATGTGATGAATAGATATGTAAGCTCTTCCCACATCTTATAAATAATAATAATAATAATCTTCAGTCGCCCCAGTATAATTTCATGGTTGAAAATAAAGTTGAAAGAAAAGCCTATATTTAGTACCACAGCATTTAGGGGAAAACATGGAAGGCAAACACTCCATAAGCCATGCATGGAGAATAACTTCTTTTGAAGTGCTTGTGGTATTGGCCTGAGCTCATTCCCCAATGCGTAGCTTCCTGCCTATTAACACAGATTATGCATTAGCTGCATCTCAGCAATGAGCTCCTACAATCTGTATCCTCAGTGTTTAGTGAAGTCAGTAACAGTATATTTTATGAATGTTTTACCTAAATTCATAAGGAGCCCCCGGTGGCGCAGTGGGTTAAACCCCTGTGCTGGCAGGACTGAAGCTGGCAGGACAAGTCGCAGGTTCGAATCCGGGGAGAGGCAGATGAGCTCCCTCTATCAGCTCCAGCTCCTCATGCGGGGACATGAGAGAAGCCTCCCACAAGGATGATAAAAACATCAAATCATCTGGAAGTCCCCTGGGCAACGTTCTTGCAGACGGCCAATTCTCTCACACCAGAAGCGACTTGCAGCGACTTCTCAGGTCCCTCCTGACATGACCAAAAAAAAGAAAACCTAAATTCATTTTACACCTCTGTTGCTCAGAACTATGGCTAGCAAAAGATGTGGCTTTTTATCTTCAAAAATGCATGTTTTAAAAATACAAATATCAGCAGCGCAGCCTCATTATTAATCATATACTGCAGAAAGGGATTTTTTTTTCCGTGTCAGCCCTGATCTAGGTATGGATGTATGTTTGAACCACAAGGGCTCCTACGTGGCTTAATGGATCTGGACCAAACTTGGCACACATCTCCCTCATGATCCAAATTAAAATAATGGTGGGTTGTTTTCTTTTTTGAGTTTTTTTATCATGTCAGGAGCAACTTGAGAAACTGCAAGTTGCTTCTGGTGTTAGAGAATTGGCCATCTGCAAGGAAGTTGCCCAGGGGATGCTCGGATGTTTTACCATCCCATGGGAGGCTTCTCTCATGTCCCTGTAGGAGAAGCTGGAGCTGACAGACAGAAGCTCATCCTGAGCCCCAGATTCAAACTGCCAACCTGCCGGCACAAGAGTTTATGCAATTTAACAATTTCATCCCCTGCTAACGTGCTAGGAAAACAATGGAGAACTTCTTTTTGATACAAATAACACCTTCAAAGATGGGACTCTCCCTTAGGATTTAGCAAGTGGAAAAGGTTTGTAGTCCCTGATAATTATAAACCCTCCCATTGATAGTGATGCCTTTCACGTCAAATGCAAAGGTGCATTTATTGTCAAGTCTAGTTGGATCTTTGCAGAGGAAAATTTACCAGTCTTGTCAGTTTGCAGACCAGAGTATAGTCATTCTTAACAGGCTCTGAAAATGTCCTTCTTGCTTTTTATTTCTCCAATCACACTTGGAGCCTTTTGATCCTTCCTCCTTGGAATAGTGAAGGTGGAATGATTTCCACTCCTAATTATGATCCACTTACGTGGGATATGTAGATGTTCACACTATGCAATTATAGCACATTGATAGCACTTTCAACAGCCTTGGCTCCATATTACAGAATCCTGGGATTTGTCATTTCACGTGGTATTTAAAATTTTCTTCTGTGTAGTTCTAGTGCTTCACTAGACTTCAAATCCCACAATTCAGCATGAGAGTTAAAGTGGTATAAATGATACGATTTGTCATGTAAAAGAGGTGTAAGTCAAATTAAATCAAGATGGTTGGGATGTTGATCATATCACATTCTTGACTTGAAGCTAAGCTCCCATTTTATGTTCTTTGTGGTCTGTTATATGTCATCTATAAACAAGAATATGTGAAGAATATACTTCTTTGGGGTCTGTTATATGTCATATATAAACAAGAATTTGTGAAGAATATACTTAGGAGTTATTACTTTGAGACCCTTTTAATCTCTGGCTTGGTGTCTACATATTCAAAAAGTGTGTGAGATGCATGTGCCTTTCTCTCCCTGATGCCTCCTACTTTGGGCACACCGTGACATCTACCATGTGCCCACTTGAGTTCACTTGCTGTTGATGTGTACATACTCATGCCTTGGTTGGAGACACTGTCTTTTCCACAGTGAAACTGCCTTTACTGAAATGCACATAGGAATTATATTTGTGTCTGGCAACACATGCAGGGTGATGTGGAGCAGAGCTACTTCAACATACTAAAAATACACAGAGCTGTAATTTTGACTGGATCCCCTGGTGGTGTAGTGGGTTAAACCGCTGAGCTGCTGAACTTGCTTACTGAAAGGTCAGCAGTTTGAATCTGGGGAGCAGGGGTGAGATCCTGCTGTTAGCCAACCTAGTAGTTCAAAAACATGCAAAATGTGAGATCAATAGGTACGCTTCTGCAGGAAGGTAACGGTGCTCCATGCAGTCATGCTGGCCACATGACCTTGGAGGTGTCTATGGACAACACTGGCTCTTAGAAATGGAGATGAGCACCACCCCCCAGAGTCTAACATGACTAGATTTAATGTCAGGGGAAATCTTTACCTTTACTTATAAGTTTGGCTACTGATAAAAATGGTAAGTAGAGGCAGTAATTCCTGGGTGCATTTTGGAAGATGTTTCATATGGTATCTTGAAGGTTTTCTTTTCCTGTTGCAAGGATTACCTGACCTGGTTGTTTCATTAGTTTTGAATAAAATGTTACCTAAACATCTTGAGCTTCCTCCTCCTCCTCTTCTTTTGGGGTGTAGGAACCTAGTCCTATTCTTTCCAGGTTATTTCTGCCTCTGATACCAATTTTTTCTTTAAAGAAGTTATGCCCAGGAACTTGTCCACTTTGGTAACTGAAGTATATTAAAACATCATCCTTCTCATCTAATATGCATTCATCCAAGCTTTATAGCAACTGTCTTCAATCTGTTTAGGTTTAAAATGACCCAAGTATCACTGGCTATTATATAATGTCTACTTTGTTTTTAAGGAAAGTAGCTCAGGTTTGGACTCTCAACAGCACTTTAGCACAATTGAATTAAGGGCATCGATTCTCAACATGAGTCGGACACTTTCTGTATCCTCACAAGCCTCTCTGAAATATGCACCTCCATCTTTATCTGAAATTGCAGGTGAGTTTCTGGTTTCTATGTAAATAATTTGAAATGTGAACTGTGATACATTTGAAAATGAACAAGATTTAAATATTACAGATCAGTTCATATAAAAATAATGAAGAAAAGGTTCTGATAAGGATTTTATGACTAGTGGATAATGTCAAAGGGGCAACCCAAATCATCTGTCTATCCATCCTGTAGGTACTCAGGATATTTTCCTTTCAACAAGGACAAAATTATCTATCCCTACTTCAGCAAAAGGCTTGGATGGTCAGTTGGTCCTCCTTATGATTCCTGTTTATCTTTGGGCAGGGAATTAGTCAAAGAAGTTACATTCATCTTTGTTTTCATAATTACTTGTATCCTCACACATAGTGAATACACAGTAAATAAATTGTGAAATTATTGTGTCTTCGAGCCAGATCTCTGGCAGTGAGTTTAAAGAGGGGCATCAACCAGAGGTGAAAGAAAATGTATTTTAAGAGGATGCTATGCTATTGGGAGAGAGAGAGTACAAACAGAGCTTCGTGTTTGAGTGTGTGAGTGTGTGTGTGTCGTTCGCACAGCTGGAGACCAAGCTGCTGTTCAATTTTAAAAGTGACTGAAAACGGATGTAGTAAAAGCAGCAAGCTTATAAACTCTGTCGGTACGTGCAATTTTCTTCATGGGCATGTTCCGTTTTTGATCCCAGAATATCTTAGAAGCAACATGAGGACATTTGCACAGAAGCATCCAGTGCTCTCGGTTCAGCAGTAAAGTAGACGTTAGAAGAAAAAAAGCAAATAGTGTGGCCCAGGGAATCCTTTTGAGATGTAATCAGTAATGCATTTGCTCTGTAAGAAATCTGAAAGAGCTGCAGGCAGGATTAACAAAGGAGATGGGTGGGAGGAAGCAGCCTATGATTCAGACCAGAGAAAATGAATTTCCCTTCCCCTTTCCTCTAATTCTGTTTATTTTAATTTTTTTTTGGCTTATTTGTGCTGTTTTTCATCCTATCACTGACTTGTTTTGTGGATTTTTCAGTATTTTAATGTATATTTATAACAACTTCAACAACACTGGTTTAAATTGTGGTCATAAATATTGCCAATTTAATTAATTTCCTGTAGCCACAACAACAAAGCTCATCCCCGAATCGCCTTCTTTGCAAAGAACATCCACTGTAGAGCAGGATTTATTAATACAGAGGTCTAACCAGCCTTCCAGAGATCCAGTTCAGGTAAGGAACTGTGTGAACAGAAACTAGACATACTTCATCACATTAGAGAATAAATCCACTTAAAATTCGGTTTCTGCCTCCTGCAGAATTCCGGGGTTTGTAGTTTAGTGAGGCTGTTAAAGGCTCCTCCCTAAACTACAAACCCCAGAATTCTGCAAGTCTACAAAAAGAGGGAAGAACATTCAAATTGCCCCTCCATGGTTCTATCGTTAGTGGGAAGTGATAGCATAGCAGGCTACAGTTCAGGGTCTTAATAATGCTAAGTATTTGTATGTGTCTAACCCCTGGCGGCACAGTGGGTTCAACCACTGAGCTGCTGAATTTGCTTACCAAAAGGTTGGCGTTTATAATCCTGGAGTGGGGTGAACTCCTCCTGTTAGCCCCACCTTCTGCCAATCTAGCAGTTTGAAAACATGCAATTGTGAATAGATCAATAGGTACCACTCTGACGGGAAGGTAAAGGTGCTCCATGCAGTCATAGATGACCTTGAAGGCATCTATGGACAATGTTGGTTCTTCAGCTTATAAATGGAGACGAGCACCAACCCCCAGAGTCAGACATAACTAGACTTAATGTCAGGAGAAACCTTTACCTTTACTTTACCATGGTGTGGACTAAATTTGAAATAGTGATTTAAAAATTAAATTATATTCTTCCAGTCAGTGTCATTTCATTTTGGAGGTGCATGGGAGCAACATAATTTGCTGTATCCAATTTCAAATAAAAACCAAGTCTTCCAAAAAGTTTTAACTTTGAGAAAATGGATTCTATCAACTCAACATGAGGTTCATTTATCCAGTGATGCAGTCCTTTCATTGTTCTCTCATGGATAAAAATAAATGTTCTAAGAGGGTGATTTAAAAGACAAAATGCATTTCTGATTGGAGGATTCTAATTATTAATTTATAATAATGAAAACAAAGAAAAACTTTCTACTTTAAGAACTGGCATTCTAGGGAAGAGGCTTGCATTATCTAACAAATGGGAATGGTTCCATGGTGGCCTCAGGAGAAAGGCATGTATAGTAAAGTGTACCGATTTATGTTATTTTGCACACTTGTTATCTAGGACAGCTTATATAATAACAGCTACTATACCTAGCAGTAAAATAACATAGCTCTTTATTTTATTATTTAAGCTCTGTGCTCAGTTTAGCATGTTCCAAAACATCAAGGACCAGCTTGAGCATCGGACTCGACAACTCCAAGCCAATATTCAGTGGCAGCAGGAAGAACTGCAGAAAATCCAGGAACAGCTCTGCATGGTACAGGACTCCAACATGCAGGTCAGCAGGAGAAACTCCAAATAACACGTTTTCCCAGATGGGTTTGTTATGTTCCAGTGAGGTGAAATCCCACAGCAGAAATAGATTTCTATGCACAGAACACCTTAATGCTCATGATCTGCTGGATTAGGGTGTGGAGCTCCCTCTTTGCAACAACTTCACTTACATATTCGTTATATTAAGGCAGGGGTATCAAACTCATTTTCATTGAGAGCCACATCAGTATTATGATTGTCTTCAAAGGGCCATTGAATCCATGGATGTAACATCTGTGGATACGGAGGGACCACTATAACCTTTTACATAGTTATCAGTACCCTTTAGTTTTTACCCAATTTGGGTCCCCAGATATTCTTGAACTCCCATCACTTCTAATTATCTGCCATGCTGACTGGGGATAATAGTAAATGCAACACAGCAGCACTTGTGGCTCTGAAGTTGGGGAAATGTTATAGACTTCTTAAAGTCAGACATCATATGCACAAGCCTTGTATATAAATTCAAACCCCACTCTCTTGACTAAACAGAAGAAACTGCAGCCTTGCAGATGTGACTGTATCACAATTTCCTCAGCTCTAGTATTGATGTCTGATAGTGTAGAATACAGAAGTTGGAGTCCAGCATCTGGAGGGCCACAAATTTGGCCTGCAAGTCTTGAACTTGGCACATTTGCTTAAATGGGCATATTTAGGAGTGGCCTTGTAGTCTATGCAGTGAAATAGAGTAAAATCCCAAATCTGCAAAAGTTATGGAATCTGTGAACCTCTGCTTTAAAGCCGTACATCACTACTCTGGGTTTTCCCTGCAACAACTGCCCCTATCCCTAACTGGCCTAACTTCTTATTGCAGAACTTAACTGTGGTGGAGTAACCAACACTGTAAAAAATTTGGAGGGCAGGACATCGAAAGAGTTGTCAAATGACAAAAAAGGGGTTTGGAGGCAATTATTATTTGAAGCCCCCGGTGGCGCAGTGGGTTAAACTGCTGAGCTGTTAAACTTGTTGACCGAAAGGTCACAGGTTCGAATCCAGGGAGCAGCGTGAGCTTCCGCTGTTAGACCCAGCTTCTGCCAACCTAGCAGTTCGAAAACATGCAAATGTGAGTAACTCAATAGGTACCGCTCTGGCGGGAAGGCAACGGCGCTCCATGCAGTCATGCCAGCCACATGACCTTGGAGGTGTCTATGGACAATGCCGGCTCTTTGGCTTAGAAATGGAGATGAGCACCAACCCCCAGAGTCGGACACGACTGGACTTAATGTCAGGGGAAAACCTTTATCTTTACCTAGGCAATTATAAAAATATTTTACAACTATTTAATAGTCATATGAATATCAGTAACAAAATTTAAAATGTCTGCAAAAATGTTTTTATCTGATGCCTGGAAAATGATGTTTATGCCAAGTAGACTTTTTTGAAAGGGGCAGCCCATAACTTGGGTGCTTCTGTATAGGAAGACTGCCACAAAAGGTCCCACTCGGTTGCTAACATCTAGCACATCTCTGATGGAGGAAACACAGATAATGTGACAACCTTAATAGTGCTCATTAAAATGGGATTGGTGTGAAATTAAATGTTTTTCAGTTGTCCCTTTTTTAAAATGTTTAATGACAAGCAATTTAAATTAGAGTTGGAAGTGAACAGTAAGCAGTAAATATTACCGTCTCACACACATTGCGTTTGTGACACTACTGATGCAGCCACACTTTTCCTCAGGTTATTGAACTATATAACCCTTTCGTGTGTTGTTGTGAATTTATTTTTTGTATCTTAATCCATTTGTTAACAGAGTGAGAACTTTTACAGTCTTGATATTATTGCACTGCCTATCATTATATCCAACCAAACAGTTTTAAGGCTTGAATCCCATCAGGACTAGAAATTTACAGATGGCAATATCCATAAAACAGTAATTTACAGATCAGTTTATTTTTCTGAAAGAAATGTCTTTTAGCTATAAATTCAGCTTCCTGTCTTTTCTTGTGATATCTTTTAAAAAATAATTGCTGTTGGTGATAACGAGTTTCCTGTTTGATCATCACAGATGGTTCAAAATGCCTGTTTTCTAAAGGGCACATACAGAAAAGATTTTTTCTCATATCTTTTTTAAATATGGTGCTGTCTGTTTCCAGATCTGAGAGCTGTTGTGCTTTCATGTTTTTTACTTCTTTTCTGAGAATACTAACAAGACTGCCAATTAGAAGAGATTAGTAATGTGCCTCTCACGTCTTGACACTCTGCAGATATCGTCCTGAGGTTTGTGCTGACACATATGTGAGCTTCTGCTTTACTTTTTTGACATATCTACTTAAGAGTTACTTACAATCAGAGAGTTGGGAGAGCTGTGTGTTTTTTTTCCTTTTTCTTTTTAATCTGTGTGTTTGTTTTGCTCTGTTAGAATTGTAATTCAATGGTTGCTGATGACACGATAAATAAGAGAGTTGGGAGAAGTTCTCTTTAAGACTACAATTTCTAGTATCCCTCAGAAATCGAGAAAATCAGACCTCCATCTGTAGAAACGAAAGAGAGGCCCTCGACACTGGAAACACAAACGGGATTGTGGGAGTTGGTTCAACATTTGGAAACCTAGTTGAGGACTGCTAGTCTAGTAAAGTTTGGATTTCGGTTTCCCCAACTCCAAAATCATTATTTATTATTATTATTATTATTATTATTATTATTATTATTATTATTATTATATGACATCTATTATTATTTACTGGATGTCATATAATAGGGTGGACAACTGCACCCTTTGAAATGTTGACCTGCACTTCTTGCTCATCATTAGCTGTGCTGGTGAGGGCTACTTAGAAGTGCGGTCCAGTAACATCTGTGGAGCACTTGTCCCACATTTTTATATACAAGTTCTTGACTTTATATTCCCTCCCATAATGGTATTTCCCAGATTGCATAGCTAAGGCCCCTTCCACACTGCCCTTATATACTAGGATCTGATCCCAGATTATCCATTTACCCCATATTATCTGATAGTAGAGACTCATATAATCCACTCTAAACAGATAATCTGGGATCAGATCCTGGGATATAAGGGCAGTGTGGAAGGGGCCTTAGCTTAGCTAATCTGGGAAATACGTATCCAACTCATTATGTACATCTAATAATATGTATTAGATATACATAATGAGTTGGATCTAAATAAATTCAGAGTAGATCCACTGATATCAATGGGACTTAAGTTAGTCATGGAAAAAAATTCCCATTGATTTCCATGGTTCTGCTCCAAGCAGGGCAATTTCTAGTTTAGGGTTGTAACTCTTCATTTATTTTATGTTTCTGTTCCGATACAAAGAATTAAAAAAGCTGACCCTCCAATGAGATCATGACAGCTTTTATGCATTTTTAAATTATTTGTCACACTTCGGCACGTTTGGTGAAAATTAGTTTCAACAAAAAGATTGATGTTCAAACAACAACGTTTTTCATAATTCACAGTAATTTCACATAAACATCCACACTGTTTTCTTTGGTGTGTTTTTTTTTTAACTTAACCCATGGCGTTTCTGCACAAATGGAGTTTTGGATAACACACACACACATACACATACACCTCTGTGAAAGCCTAATGACAGTTTATGGGGGTGTTTTAACATTGACACTCATAGGCTGAGAAAACAAATCTTTTGCACCCTGGTCGATTCCATGGGTCAACAACCTGCAAGAATCTTGGGGTCCTTTTTCCTGGCCAGACCCTCGATGTGAAAGTGAAAATGCTCAGAAGGTCAATTTTTTATGGAGCAGTGTAAACTTGCGGTTCACACTGGGTTTCCTGCTACACCAAAGTGTTTATGTGTGAAACTATGTGCTGTTGCAAAAAAGGCTTGCACTCTTCCACAGTGTGATCATTCAAAAAGCAGGAAAAATTGGCGAGAATGATCCTGGGTCTTCAAAGCATTGCCTGCAAGGTCACATATGGCCTGCAGCTTGTATTATTCCTGTCCTTATGTAGACTCTATAATTACACATAATTTTCAAGGATAGATGAAATATGACTGATGGACTGGAGGCAATTTCTGGCAATGTATTTGATATTGAAATGCATGACTCCTGTTTCCTATAATAAGATGCCCATATTTCATCATATCCTGAATATGTAGTTACTCTGGTTTCCATAATAGCTTTATGCTTAGTTTTAGTACAGTTGTATGTGAAAGCATCAATAATTATTGTTTTTTGTTGTGCTCCATCCTTAGATCTTCTCTTCTTGTTTAATTGTTGTTGTTTTCTGCTATATTTTCACATTTCTAGATATATTCCTTAATTATTAGTCACATATTTTTTAACACACTGGTGAATTATTTCTAGAAGACGGCATAACCATATAATCTCATCTGGTAAAAAGACGATGCTTCCCCAGAGAGTGAAGAAGTATAGGGTTATGATTAGAGCCTGTATGTTGGAACCAAACTCCCCATTGCTAAGAAAAATATTGATTTAAGCCTCAGTGGCAGCTTTTCCCAGGGAACTGCATAAGAGGGTGTTTTCAGAGGATACGCAGAATGGTTGAGGATGAGTGCTAAATTTCTCTTTCCTCCTGCAACGCCAGCTTCAATCAGCTCCTCTTTTGGTCGTTTCAGACATAGGCTTGTTCATGCAAATATACATCTGGAACCCCACAAAGGATAAGAAGGTGGGGAGGAGGATTTGAAGCAGGAAAATGTGATTATGTCAGAGAGGTAGAGATAATGACAACCACCCATCATTTCTCTCATTTAATTGCCCGGGCAGTTGCTTTTCCACAAACAAAGTGGCAGCTGCAGTTTAATAGCATGTTTTTATTTTTTTCCTTCAATTGTTTATGATAATAACAAGTATATGTCAGATGTCTGGTGAATTAAGAGTCTGGAGAATGAATGTTATGCCTGAATCCATCACTGATCTGATTTTCTAAATATTGCTACCATTCTTCCCACTGTTAGTTTAAATTTTATATTTTGTATTTGAAGCTCAGGCAACACCTGAACTATTCCTCACTGCATTTGCCCCAGAATTCACAGAGTAAAAGGTTTTTCATGATTTAGGGTTTTCACTTAGAAACTGAGCTGTAGAAATGTCAATTTTTTAAGGTAAATGTCATTTTTGCTAGTACAAAATATACTTTTACTTTACTTAGGCAATCCCTTGTAGCCCGAGGATGATGGTGCTCCAAGTGTAGTGTCTTAGCGGTGGGTTCTATTCTTGATCCACATGTTCTCCCACAGTGAGGACATCGGTTTCCATGTGGAAGGCGGTCCTGGTCAGAGTTGGCTTGACTCATCTTCCTCTTGGCACATTTCTCCCTTTTACCCTCCATCATGCTTCTTTGAATTCTGCAGCATTGCTGGTCATAGCTGACCTCCAGTTAGAGCACTCAAGAGCAAGGGCTTCCCAGTTCTCATTGTCTATGCCACAGGTTTCAGGGTTGGCTTTAAGACCTTCTTTAAATCTCTTTTTCTGTTCACCATTACGTTTCCTGTTCTTGAGTTGGGTTAACTATTGAGTTAACTATTTTGGGGGACGGTGATCGAGCATTTGGACAACGTAGCCAGTCCAGCGGAGTTGATGGCATAGGAGCATCGCTTCAGTGCTGGTGGTCTTTGCTTCTTCTAGCATATTGACATTTGTCCATCTGTCTTCCCAAGAGATTTGCAGGATTTTTTTTGGAGGCAATGCTGATGGAATCATTCTAGGAGTTGAGTGTGATGTCTGTAGACAATCCACGTTTCACAGGCATATAGCAGGGTTTGGAGGACAATAGTTTTATAAATAAGCACCTTGGTCTCCCTACGGATGTCCTTGTCCTCAAACACTCTGCTTCAATCGGAAAAATGCTGCACTTGCAGAGCTCAGATGGTGTTGTATTTCAGTGTCAATGTTGATGTTGATTTTCTAACTATGGCTAGCATTTTTCCCACTGTCAGTTTAAATTTTATATTTTGTATTTGAAGCTCAGGCCACAATTGAACTATTTCTCACTGCATTTGCCCCAGAATTCACAGAGTAAAAGGTTTTTCATAATCCAGGATTTCCACTTAGAAACTGAGCAGTAGAAATGTCAAGCATTCTTGGGTAAATGTCATTTTTACTAGTCCCAGATACAGGTTAAGTGATTGTGTGGGAAAAGCCCTGCCTGACTTCATTCATTTTGCTTTAACATTACAGGGTTTTTTTTAGTTTCGATAAGCCCTAAACGGTTCAGGCTCAGACTACTTGAGGGACTGCATCTCCTCCTACGAGCCCTCAGATCACCAGGAGGGGCCCTTCTCCTGGTCCCATCCCCGCCACAAGTGCAATTGGGGGGAATGGGAGTGAGGGCCTTCTTGGTGGTGGCCCCGTAGTTCTGGAGCTCCCATCCTAGAGAAGTGCAATCGGTCCCCTGCTTGTTGGCCTTTCATTTGCAAATTAAAGCCTTTTTGTGGAACCAGGCCTTTCCTGACGACTTATAATAGGCAACCGCCAGATACTTACTGGTATTATCTCAGACTTTGCAATGTTGTTACTCGGCCCAATGGAAATGCCAATGGAAATGATGTTTTAGGATCTTAGTACAATCTGTTTTATGGATAACCTCAGTTCAGGAATTTTTTAATGGTATATGTCATAATTTATTGATTTGTTATATATGGTTTTATGTAGTGTGCAATTTGTGTGTTTGGTTTATCACGTTTTTTGTTTGAATTTATGTTATGTAATTTCTATTTTTAACCATTGTATGCCACTTTGAATCACAGCAATAGAAAAAAAGTGGGATATAGATAGATAAATAAATAAATAAATAAATAAATAAATAAAACAGCTTTTAAATTTCTATAGGCACCTCTTAAAGTAAATATTGATGAGAAGCACCCTGGAGCTTCAGTTTCAGAAGAAAATAGGGAAATGAATGAATAAACTATGTATATACACTTTAAAAATGCTCTAGGTTCTTCTAGTCATGGGATACCAATATTTAACCTGTAACTTATGTGCAACTTCCCCAGGGTTTTTGGCAATGTTCTACATCATTTGACAAAAATTGACAGAAAGCCCATCATAACCCGAGATTGTTTTTAAGCAACTGATTTTTAAAGTGGATATAAGTGATTTTAATGTTTGTGTATATTTATGGTTTTACGCATTGAATGCTTGCCGTATATATTGTTGTGCTTCACCGAGTCCCCTGTGGGGTAAGAAGAGTGGAATATAAATGTTTCAAATAATTAATTAAATAATATGGAGAATGGGATACATTTTTCCAAATCATAGTGGCTACTGGGCTTAAAATCAGTTGAGAGCATGGGAGAAAATGTATGGCATTCCCCCGGCCTTTTAAAGTTATGTATGTGTGCATGTGTGTGTGCACATACATAACCACCCAACCATCAAGATATAAATATAGATACAGATACAGGACTATGAACAGGGAGCATGAGGTGTATGTAGTTCTCAGACCTGCAGAAGTTGCTTAATCCATACATCAAATTCATAAATATTTTCTACAATTGGATCAGGTTTAGCCTTCCGACTCCCCAAATTATAAATATTACTCAAGAAATAACAACTTGGAAAAGAAGTTCAATTTCTTGCTCTAATATACTTAGCAGGAACTTTTTGTTATTTTTGACTTCCAGGTGTTTTTACAGCAGCCAACGGCAGCTCTGAATTTCAATAGTCCACAGCAGTCAGAACCGGAGAGGAAGTCAGTGGTTGAGCCACTTCAGCAGCAGCATGAGGAGCAGGTCATTGCAAGGCCTCCTCTTCAAGGGCAGGTTACAGCTTCTCAGACAGTTGAACATCAGCTATTAAGAGAAGAAAATGTGTTATCGAACCAGGTCAGTACACAGAAATCTGCAATTTTCTTATAGCAAGAATCAACAAAATCCAGTCCATAAGGCAAAAATAGCCTCCCCTTTGGCCCTCACACTCCAAACACAACATTTCGCTATAAAAGGATCCTTGCAATTTAAGGGGCAGTGGATAGAATTATGAGGCCCTGGATCTACCAACCCCATAATTCCCATTCCTTCCCAGTTTTAATTAATACAATTTTTGTCTAAAATATTGCTCTGGGGCACTTACTTATCTTTAAAATACTCTCTGGGGTCCCAATTAGAAAATATACTAATTTTATAGTTGGCAGAGAAGTGACATGAAAGTCATGGAACATCACTTCCAAGTTGGCAAAAATTGTAATGGTGTAATTGGCTGAGATTAGGACATAAAACAATGATACCCTTGACTGTTAGGAATATTCCCAAAAGGTCAATGGACATGGGCAGTGTATGTGACAGGATTACTGTAGGTTTTTTTATTCTAAGACCCACACCTCCAAAAACGTGATGCATCTTAGAATTGCAGATCCATCTTATGAGTTTTATTGTGGATGTTGGTACTGAAATTAGTGTGCATCTTACAATCGAGGGTGTCTTAGAATGGAAGAAATGTGGTATTTGCAACTATAATAGCATTTCACATAATTTACTAACAGTCATTTTTTTATTAAAAGAAAGAGTGAATTAAATCACACGTATAATTTTGTTAAAGTGTGTCTAATATTGTTTTAATGTTGTATCCTTGGATAATACTCCCTAAACATTGTGGCTATTTTAGGACCTGGAATCTGTGGCTACTTCACAAGGGCTTCAAGAGGGCTGCCGTTCTTCTTCAAACAATTTGTCTTCCCAATTTAGGGAGACCTCTGTGCTCCCACAATCCTTGAGCATAGCTCCACCTCCTGCCATTCTACAGGATAGCACTCAGCAGCACAATACTTCAGATTTTGGTCATGACCGACAGTTAAGGTAAAAGAAGTGTGAGAAACTGCTGTGTTTTTAGTGCAAATTGTCATTGTCATTACTGCAGAATCTGTAGCTCCATGTTTGGGTTATTACTTCCTGCAAACTCTGGAGTATCCCCTGACTTTGCCTAAACAGACTAAAAAGCAATAATAATAATAATAATAATAATAATAATAATAATAATAATAATAACAACAACAACAACAACAACAACAACAACAACAACAACAAAGATCTTGTCCTGCACTTAAACACAATCGGCACTGACCAAATTGCAATCTGCAATGGGATCTGCATGCATTATTCACCGATACTTCACATAGTCCTAGACATTTGGGAAGTGTCCAACGTGTGATCCAATACAACAGCCAGCACAGTGATCTTGTTTGCTGTGTACTAATCTTGTTGTAATAATAATAATAATAATAATAATAATAATAATAATAATAATAATAATAATAATAATAATCAACAACAACAACAACCCCCATGAGACACACCAGAAGTCGTTTGTGCATCATGAGGACAGCCAGCTTTCTATTTGAGGTGAGTCCAGAGTTTTGTTTTGTTTTGTTTGTTTTTTTTGCAAGTGTATACAAGGCATTTGAAAGAACAATACAACTGATTCAGTGGCTTTTCTCTACTTTGTCTTCAATTGGAATTAGGCTTTAATACAGAATGGACATCCTGCTATGTGACTGAGTAGGCCATGAGTGCGATTGATAAGATTTTAACTGTGTTTTATTCTAGAACTAATTAAAGTTGGCCCAATCTCATTTAAAAGCTCTCGATATCTCCAAACATGAAATTATCTTATGCAGAACAATTGTCTTCCCTTTTCAGTGTATTAAAGTTACTGATTTTCACCGATGCTAATTTTCTCTCATTTCCTGTTTTCCAGACTCTTACTGAGTCAACCTATTCAGCCAATGATGCCTGGGTCATGCCATGCAAGGCAATCACCAGATGTTAATGCAGTTGGACGCCAAGCAAAGTATGTCCTGAATATGTATACAGTGAAAGTCTATATATGCATACATAGGTAATTAAGATGTATTGAAATCATATTGATTTCATGATATCATGAAATTACAGGTCATTTAGAAGAAGTATTTCAATTAAGCAGATTGTCAGAGACAGAATAATAATGTAATCTTTACTGTCTCTCTTACAGTTGACATCTCTAGTTTTCACAGATCTCAGCTGCCTCATTCATCTCTTCATCTTGTTCTTGAGAAAACTATTGGTTTCAGAAAGAAGATTAAGATGTTCTTTAAAAAATAAAACCAAATATACTTAAGTGGATAGAAAAAAACAGAATTATAAGTTTAATCTGTCTTAAGCAGGGAAAGTTCTAAACTAGATTGGAAGCATCTTATTATTATGCTTATTGTTACTTTAGATTAGCAATTATGTAAAATGTTAACATTCTTAATGAATTTACATATACAGTGCATTAAGACATCAATAATTTCTCCTTTCTTGCTCCTCGCTTAGATAGTGTTCTCAAAAGAGTTAACTGTATATGCTGTTGGGGGAAAATATGTTTTTAAAATGTCTACACACTTGGGTCCTGATGCTTGAAACATCATCTAATCTGGGGACAAACAGCCTGCATACCTGGATCCTTTATACAGCCTTTCACTGCTCCTTGCACAGTACCCCAAGCCTGCAAAACCCCATTATTTCAAAAGATTGCTTAGAGAATGTGGGCACACTGAGTGGTGTGAATGTGCAAAGTGTTTGCATGTGCAAAGATGTGTGTAGAACAGGGGTCCTCAAACTTTTTAAGCAAAGGGACGGTTCACAATTTTCAGACGAGGAGGGCAGGGGTGAACTGTAGTTTGAAAAAAAAAACCATGAATGATTTCCTATGCACACTGTACATATCTTATTTGTAGTTCAAATAGTGTAGTGTTTTTAAGTTGAATTTGTTTGTAAGTTGGAACAGCTACATATTTAAATGAAATTTAAGCCAGTTGGCTCCAGAAGAATGGAAGGAGCTTGCTGACAGTCTCCCTCACATTCTCCTCAGCCAAGGCTCTGGTGAAGGGCAGGGGAGACTGGCAGGAAATCAAAATTGGAGACAAGGGGCGAAATAACCTGTTCTGGGGTCCCTACACCAGCCTCCTTCACCTTGGCTGGGGAAGAACAGGAAGCTGCCTCCYCCCCCCCCCCCCCGGTTTGTATCTATGAGTTGCTCAGATGTTCGAAACTTGGGGACTGCCAGTATTCCAACAGGAAGTGTGAACCTGCTTTTGGCTGATGAGATGGTCATGGTAATTAGGATTGTTGTTGTGTGCCTTCAAGTCGTTTCAAACTTAGGGTGACTTTAAGGTTAAGGTTTAGGGTGGGGTCAGGCAAATAACCTTGGAGGGCCACATCTGACCCACAGGCCTGAGTTTGAGAACCCCTGGTGAAGAGAGAAAGCAAATAATCTGTATGCAGTGAACAAGGTAGGTATTTTTTTAAATGTGTGTATGTTGGTTAGCCATCTTATGTGCCATATTTTTTGGGTGCATAAGACGACCCCCCAACTTTTCAATTTAAAAATTCAATTTTTGGATATACTCGCCCTATTAGACTGCCCCTCTTGCCAGCCCCTTCAGACCCCAAAGCCGCCTTACCTGGGTTTTCAGGCGGCTTCTCGGCTCCATGGAGGCAGCCTCCCCTCCACTGGCAGCCAGGCCCCACCACAGCCAGCCAACCGCCACGCTCGTCACTTCCTGTTTTGGATGCAAAACAAGATGGATCCAATTTTATGCTACTGCCCCTCCAATGTTCTTGTCCCAGGAGTGTCCCCCCCCCCATAGGAAGGTTGGCTTAATTTCCTATCTATGAGTTCATCCTTACAATTAGTTCTCCCCCCTTATCTCACCCAGAGTTTTTAAATCATTTTATGTACATGTGGCCCGCCCTCTGTCTCTCTGTCATTATGCTTAGTTCCTATGTTTTATGTACAGTATATTCTGGCGTATAAGACTACTTTTTAACCCAAGAAAATCTTCTCAAAAGTCAGGGGTCGTCTTATACGCGGGTGTAGTCTTATGCATGGGAGTCGTCTTAACTCTATATTTTAACTGGAAAAGTTGGGGGTCGTCTTATACGCCCAGTCGTCTTATATGCCGGAATATACGGTATATTGTTTTATATGCTGCGCTCCTCCAGTGCCACTTGTCTCCCGCTGCTGAGCTTCAGCCTCACCAAGGGGCTCTTCCACTCTATGCCGACCTTGGCTGTCCATGTCGCAGCGGAGGAGGAGGCAATATACTCGCCAGATGGCCTTGTCCCTTCCTCCTCCTCCACTGCTGCCACACACACAACTGAGGTGGTCCTGGAGTGGAGGAGCCCCTCAGTGAAGCTGAAGCCTGACAGCGGGAGACAAGCGGTGCTAGAGGGCAGCCCTTGGGTTCCACTTATCTCCCGCTGCCAGACTTCAGCTTCACTGAGGGGCCTCTCCATTCCAGGTCCGCCTCGGCTGTCTGTGTGGTGGTAGTGGAGGAGGAGGAGGCAATGCAGCCATCCAGCGAGTATATCTCCATCTCCTCCACCGCCGCATTGACAGCCGAGGTGGACCTGGAGCGGAGGAGCCCCTTGGTGAAGATGAAGCCCAGCAGCGGGAGACAAGCAGTGCTGGAGGAACGCAGCAGGTACTTCTGCTTTGGGCACCCTGCTCCAGCACAGGGCAGCTGCCCGCCTCCCTCGACTCAACCCAAAGTGGTTTTTTTTATACCCGGTGTACTAGACAACCCCCAAGTTCAGCAAGGATTTTCCAGGGTTAAAAAGTCATCTAGTATGCCAGAAAATACGGTACATAGAAAATACGGTGTTATTTTCCCAATCATTCTCCATAATGAACTATACTTTGATATCTATATTGTATTAGCTGGAAAACTTTGACCTGTTTCATTTAACAGATATTCTCAAAGCCTTCAGGCATTCCAAAGTTTGGAAATGCAAGCTTCCAACAACAGTGCGCCTATAGTGCTGTTACACCCCAGGTTTTCAGAAACACAGACTTCTCAGGCTTCGGCTTTGCAACCTATGCAGCAACAGCAACAGCAGCAGCAAAGCTACCTGCAGGTGGGCTGGAACAGAAATTACATGATCTAATGGGTAAGCCGCCCTGAATGTTTTTTTCTAGTTGAAGGGACGGCAGATAAATGTTTCAAAGAGTAGTAGTCCATTGTTACCAACAAGTTTTTACCAAAGGCAGGCGGTGCTGTATATTATGTCATAAATTCTGTCCATTTTCCACAATGTACTGTAGTTTGAGAATGGTTCAGGATTGGGAAAACAACAACTGTGTGTTGCATCTCAAGTTACAAATCCCTTGGTTGCATTCTCTGTTTTCTTCCCTCCCTCTCTCTCTCTCTCACACACACACCCACACACTCAATCACTCTCTTTTTCTTACACACACACACAGCAAATGGTTCCTGCATATAAATTGGGCACAGTGATGTTGATATGCATCCAAGAACACACATAATTTTCCATCTAAAACCTTCCATTGATTGGATAAAAGGGCTTTAAATAGTGAACTGGTTTTCATTCAATTTTATGTATGTGTAAATGGAATTTCTATTAAGATTTTGAAGTGAAAAGCATTTTATTTATTTTACAAAGCATTTATTTAACTGCACTCATTAGTACAGGTTTTAGTATTAGAAGAATAATATGAATTGGACAAAATTTACCATTAGATGGGGGAAATTGAAAGAAAATGGCTCTACTTCTTCACAATTCTACAGAAAATGTGAATTATTAGCTTTCTCTCTGTTTTATTAATTGTTTAGAATCCATGTGTGCTGTCATTCGGTAATAACACATTATGGTACAGCCACTGGGCAATGCTCCTATAGGGATCCATTCATTCAAATGCAAAAGACTTAGCCAGTTAATTGTACCTATAGTATGGAATATTACTGGAAAAATTAGCTATTTGGAGATTGTGACGTTGTAAATGAAAAAAAAAAACCTTCTCACATTTTATGTGCTTCATTAAAAACATCAATTTGTTTAAACGTGATTATGGAGGAAACTGCACATAGTCACTTTCTAAATCTTATTTTAACACATTGTTTCTGTTAAGTAGATTCCCTTTTGTTTTCTGGATCCAAATTACCTACTTGTTCCTTTGTTTTTTTCCTTTTGCTACACAAAAAAATCCCTCAATGATAACCTGTCACTGGTTGCTCTTGGCATTGTAGTAAATACACTTCACTTCAAAAACAGGTCTTCTAGAAGAATAGTAAACATCAGTTGTGAATTTAAGGGTCAAATTCAAAAAAGCCCAAATATAGAGAAGAATTCTCCCTCTCTAAATATGACGAAATTTGTCCACAGGAGACCATTATTGGCAACGTGGGCTGTAGTCCTTAATGTAGTTAGTTGGCAGTAAGTACCAGTGGTACTTTTTTCCAAATAAACAAGCTCAAGATTGTGCTGCAAATATTTTTACTAGTGGAAAACCTGATTGCCATGTAACATTTAGAGTCATGGCTAAGAAAAGAGGGTGAGGCAGCATTCATTGATAACGGAAGACAGAAAAGCAGACCAAATTATTGGACAGAAAATCCCATAAATTTTTCTGATTAAATATCCTTCAAACATTTAGAGCTGATTTTTAAAAAGTTCAATTTTACATTAATAGTAGAGTATTCAGTCATGTTACCTACTTGCACCATGTTTAAAGTTTTGCACAAGATGGTAATCAACAAGTAAAAATCACAAAACCATGAGTTGTGGGTGTTTATTTGTATAGGCTCTTGGTGGTATAATAATAATAATAATAATAATAATAATAATAATAATAATAACAACAACAACAACAACAACAACAACAACAACAACAACAACAACAACTTTTTGAACTGGAAAGACTGGCACAAGCCACTAAAGGTCATTCCAGTGGTGATCAGCACATGGGTACAGTTCCTAAAGACCTTGGTCTGCGATTATAAACAATCGGCACTGATAAAATTACCATCTGTCAGCTGCAAAAGGCGACCCTACTCGACTCTGCATGCATTATTCGCCAATACATCACACAGTCCTAGACACTTGGGAAATGTCCAATGTGTGATTGAATACAGAAGCCAGCTTAGTGATCTTGTTTGCTGTGGACTAATCTTATTGTGTATCTAATAATAATAATAATAATAATAATAATAATAATAATAATAATAATAATAATAACTTTATTTATTTTATTAATGGTATGAATTAGAGAGGCAACCCCCTTCATCGTCCTCCTCTCTTTTGTGGTTGCATCTGTGTGCTCCCAAATTTTTGGAGCTCTAGCCACAAAAGGGGTGGATGTTTTTTCAGATGAAACCCCACCAATATTTTAAGTTGGATAAAGTGTGCCAAATTTGGTCCAGATCCATCAAGTCATATAGGAAAAATACATGCATACATATTTTTATATGTAGATAGCAAAATCAAGATTTGCTTTTGGATTTTGGCAGGGGGGGCGGGCATAGTAGATTTTCAAACCATGGCTATATTGAATTTGTGGATATGAAAGGGTGACTGTCCCAACTATATTTCTGTTATAAATTGATCTTTTGACCTCACCAGATTCTGTTTTGTGCCTAGGTGCAGTCTGCTGGACCTTTGCAAGGCGGGCAGGCAGATGGTCAGGTGGTACCTTCCTACTCTTCACAGAAAGGAAGCATAGGGTACCTTCATGTGCAATTGCAGCAGTAGACACCTGTTGCCAGAAGAACCACTGACTTGCCTGAATCCTCAAACATGCAGCAGCGTCTGCAGTAGATCCCACTATCACAATCAGTGCACATTTAGCTTTATTCAACGGTGGCTGGGCAGGAGGAAATGTCGGCGTTTGCGTATGTGTTCATTTCAAAGCTTTGTGACCTAAAGGGACTACTAAGGGTAGTCCCTTATGGATAGTGCAATAGGAAAAGGAACGGGGATTCGTTTTGCATATGTTTGCACTGGTTTTGTGACTGTGTTCTTGATATTAATACCATATGCACCATATGCAAATGGTGGCACTAACTGGTATGTGTTAGTAGGAGATTCGGTTGAATCTTTTGACCAGAAAATGCTCTGGCTATTCCAAAAAAAGGGGGAATATAAGTTACTTGGCCTTCACTATTTTGATCATTTAATATGAAAAGCACTGGTTCAGAGAGATTTATTGAGAGAATGAGAGATTATTTTTTATTATGGTTGATATTATTATTTGCACAACTGCACAAAAAAGGCATAACCTAGCACTTTTGGTAAGGAAAAGTTTACTCCAGTGGCCGGATGAGCACTTCCAATGGGAGAGAGCATATTGTCATTTAGTTTAAAATAAAATCACCTTGCAGTTTGTAACCCTCAAACTCTTGACCAGAAAATTGTTACCTACCATCCTACTCTTGTTACTTCTAATGTTTAAGATAAATTACACTTGGCAGCTTCCCATTTACTTATTGAATTACAACTGTAAACATTGGGATTAAGAACAAATATTTGCAGCTACTCTTTCAACATACTAGCCATGCTCTTTTAAGCACTTTGAAGAGAGTCTCTTCTATATACTGGACAAAACCTTCACAATTGTTCACAGAACAAACACCTGAAGGATATGCACTGTGTTAGAGCCCATTAAGTGGGAAAATGGTGCAACTGTATTACATATATCTTCCATTATTACATTTAGGACTGAATTTTCCTCCAAGGCATTGCACTTTTGTATGCTTTATGTTGATGTTTCTAAGAGATATTTTATGTCATTACAAAATAAGTAGTGTTTAAAAAAGAGCTGTTGTAAAGAAAAATAACAAAAACCCTGACCTATTTCTATACAAAATAAAATTATATGGTATTATGTGGAAACTATTTTGTATATTGAAAGAGCCATTCATTTCACAAGTCTGGAGCTTTTTCATGTTTTTTGTGAGTAAACATTTGTAAATAAATGAATAATTAGACCTACAGCTCGATCAGATGGGTGCTTTCAGACGGTGGTTGGTATGTCGTCCTTTGTCCTACTCAGCATCTGGTTTGAAACAAGTAGGTCAAGACCAATTTGTGGAGTCTCATCACCTGCTGTTTGTCATAAGGGACTGTTTGCTCACTACACACTCATTGATATCCTTGTTTGGTTTATGACCTGTTAACATTTGCGTTTTTAAGAACATAAGAACCTTGCTAAAAAGTCCCTCACATCTAACATACTTTTCACTGATGACCAACTATGTGTTTATGGAAAACCCATGAGGGCAATAATGCCATCTTCTGCAACTGATATGCAAAGGAACAGTGTTTCTGGTAGAGGACAGAAAGTTTATGTATCAGAGGGAGACAAAATGCATCCAATCTGTTTAATATCCTTCCTGGATCCATGTACATCCCCAAGTTTAGATGTCCTAAAATTAGCCAGTCTTACACACAGAAACACTAAGGTATGTTATATGTAAAAATGGGTGAGTAAGGAACAGGTGCATCCCTTGAAGACCTTAGGGGCTTGGAACCGCCCCATGAACCCTGGATGTTTCCCACCAGATGTGTCCACTGTAACAGGAGGAGTCACTGGGAACTCTTTCTAATCACATTCCAGATAATTAGACATTGCTACATCTTGTGATGACAATTCCACTTTGTACACTACAGGTAGCCCCCAAGTTATGAACAAGATAGGTTCTGTAGGTTTGTTCTTAAGTTGAATTTGTAAGTCAGAACAGGTACATTTTTTTAAGTGTAACTCCAGCCAAAAATATATCTTTTTAAGCTTTGGACAGAATATGGAAGTGTTAACATTTCTCAATGTGAAACAACAGCTGTATAATTTGCCTCCTGATCTAGGTCAGGTAAAGGTTAATTTTGTCCCAGAATTAAAATACAACACATTTAATAGATTTATAGCAGTGGTTCCCAACCTGTGGTCCACGGACCACCGAATGGTCCCCAAGAACTAAAATATGGTCTGCAGCCTCACCGTTACTACATTGTTGCAACAAGAGCAACTGGTCTCGCAAAACCCTCTTATAGTGCCAAGGCAACAGGGATGTCGGGAGGGGAGGGGCTGACTACCCACAAAAGACACAACAACAAACCTCCTGACTGCTTCTTCTCCTCCCCCTCCCTCCCCCTGAGAGATACCATTTCATGTGCCTGGAAGTGGGGGCACCTTGGTGTCTTTGTTTTTAGGCCTGCTTCTGGGTTTATTTGGGGTGCCGATTCAGAAAATTGCATTGGATAGACCACATCAGCTCTAAATTATTAAATATGCTTTTCTATGGGCGAGCAGATCGCGACTACTGGATGGCATGCGTTCTGTATCAGAAACGAGAGCTGATGTGGTCTATCCAATTGAATTTTCTGAATCAGCATCCTAAATGACCAAACCGAATCTAAAGTTGACCAAAAACTGATTCTTAACCCTTTTGGTACTAACGTTGGAGAGTGGTCCCTGGTCAAAAAAGGATATGGAATCACTATAGTAATAAAAAATGGTTAAAATACAGTTTACAGAGGAGAAAGAGAGAGATCCAGGAGTGATGGGGAGGCCTGGGAGTTCTATGCAAAAGAGAGGACGCTGCTCTATCTCATTCTAGCTTGTTGCCCTTGGAAAACTATAAATCCCTAACTAAATACTTTTTTATTAGGAGTAGGGGTTGTGGTGTTCAATAACATGTAGAAGTGGACCCATTCTCCTCTATGCAGCTGTTCATTGTAAGGGAGCTGTATAAATAGAGTTCCACATGGAAACAACACCCTTTTGAAGAATTCCATCAAGTTTAAAAAAAAAAAAGCCTGGCTGACTTTCACAATTTTGATGTGCATTACCTCTATTCCTTGTCTTCAACAAGGAAAGAAATGACTGCAGGCAGACCACTGAGAGTGAGAACAAATTAAGTATATTCCTTTCTAACTGTCGTATAGAAAAATCTTGTTTATGTAAGGATAATACTGGAGTATACAGGAGCCCCTGGTGTTGCAGTGGGTTAAAGCGCTGAGCTGCTGAGCTTGGTGACCGAAAGGTCGCAGGTTCAATTCCGGGGAGCAGCGTGAGCTTCCGCTGTCAGTCCTAGCTTCTGCCAACCTAGCAGTTTGAAAACATGCAAATGTGAATAGATCAATAGGTACTGCTCTGGCGGGAAGGTAATGGCGCTCCATGCAGTCATGCCGGCCACATGACCTTGGAGGTGTCTGTGGACAACGCCAGCTCTTCGGCTTAGAAATGGAGATGAGCACCACATCCCAGAGTCAGAAATGACTGGACTTAATGTCAGGGGACAACCTTTACCTATACTGATAGGATGCCGTTGTTACCCCTAGTCTCAGCTTTATCTCCAACCTACAATGTGAAAAGCAGCCTCATGCGTATGGCTATTTTGCTTCTTTTTTTTTTTTTTGGTCATGTCAGGAGCGACTTGAGAAACTGCAGGTCGCTTCTGGTGTGAGAGAATTGGCCGTCCGCAAGGACGTTGCCCAGGGGACGCCTGGATGATTTGATGTTTTCATCATCCTTGTGGGAGGCTTCTCTCATGTCCCCGTATGAGTAGCTGGAGCTGATAGAGGGAGCTCATCCACCTCTCCCCGGATTCGAACCTGTGACCTGTCGGTCTTCAGTCCTGTCGGCACAGGGGTTTAACCCACTGCGCCACCGGGGGCTCCCGGCTATTTCGCTGATCCACATACATCCCCAAGTAATAGCACGAGCCTGTGTTGGCCTCATCCCATGGAAAATAACGGATAATACAGACCGAGTATGCCTCATTTGAAAAACTCACGACCGGAAATGTTTTCAATTCCAGATTTTGGGATACTTGTATTTGCACAGGCACACAGAATGAAGTATGCTGAAGATGTGGCCCAAGTTTAACCATAAACGCATTTATGTTTCAGATGGACAGACAGTATTTCAAGATATATAGTTTCAAAAAAATAATTTTGTGCATGAAACAAAGTTTGTGTACATCCAAAAAACAAAGTAAGAGACACTACTTCAGCCACTTAATGGAGGCAAAACTGGATTTTGGAACAGACTGTAGACTGAGCAGGCCTGGGCCAGCTTGGGCCCTCCAGGTGTTTTGGACTTCAACTCCCAGAATTCCTAGCAGCCTCAGACCCTTTTCTTTTCCCCCTCAGCCGCTTAAGGAAGGGGCCTGAGGCTGCTAGGAATTCTGGGAGTTGAAGTCCAAAACACCTGGAGGGCCCAAGCTGGCCCAGGCCTGCTTTACACGCTACACAGAATCCTAGAGATGGAAGAGACCTCATGGCCATCTAGTCCAACTTCCTGCCATGTAGGAAAGCCGCATACAAGAAAAGGCTATGCGTTTGTACCCGAGCAGAGGCCGCCTTCTGACTGTTCCGGCCACTCACGTCTTCGAGCCTTTCAAGTCTTTCCCGGCCGTTCTAGGAAGCCAGGCGCCGCCTTAACCGGAAGCCGCTCCCCGCGCCTTCCATCCATGCGCGTCTCTCTGGTTTTTCCGCCTCCCTTGGTTTCCTCCCGTGGTGCCCCGCGCCCTCCTTTTCGGTCTGGTCCTGAGCAGGGTGAGTAGGCCCCGCTTCGGCCCTCGCGTTATCCGGAGCCATCCGCCTCTGAGGGGCCAGCTGAGCCCGGGGTCCGAGCTGGCCTGGTTGTCCGGGGCGGTGGGGCATACGTTGGGCTGGGCCTTTCTTAGGCAGGGATGGAAGTCTTGTCAGAAGAGTCAACCATTCCTCCGCCCCCCTCCCCACTTGGGCCCGCTTCCTCTCGAGCCTACGTCGGCTGTTCCGGGTTGAGCCTCACTCATACGAAATGAAGTGTTGGAGGTTCTGGGATATGTCTATATATATAATAGGATCTCGTGGACGTGGCACTCAAGTCCAAACCACGACATTCATTTATATTTCATAACAGATTGCCTAGAGGTTATGTCATGCACAGTAATTTTAAATGTTTTTGCTCGAGATAAAGTTAGGGTACGTTGACCCTGATCCGAAAGCAAAGGTGCCACTGTCTCGGCCTCCCGCCTGGGCAATTTTGGAGTATTTGGGCCTTCTGGATTAGGGATAATCAACCTGTGTATCAACTGAGATAGTGGGAGATGGAGGAAAGGGGACTTCAACTATTAACAGCATGACCTGATCAAAAAGGAGGTCCGAGAAGGGGACAATCTGAATATATCAACGTTGGAAAAGACCTGGGGACAAGCCTTTAAACTCTTAAAACAGTTTGTTTGTTTATTTATTTACGAGATTTATATGCCACTCTTCTCACTCCGAAGGGGACTCAGAATGGCTTACACAATACTTATACATACAATATATTATATTATTTATTTGCGACATTTATATGCCACCCTTCTCACTCTGAAGGGGACTCAGAGCAGCTTACAAGACATATATACATACAATATATTACATTATTAGCATAGCATAATATCAGTATTATATATTACTATATTGTACTATACCATTAGAATGTAATATTATTAGTAATATTACATGTAATATTAAATATATAATTCATTTCATATAATTATAATATGTAATGTGATACAATAGTACTACTAATAATACAATATTATATTACATTATAGTATTATATATATTATATTATTAGTATAGCACAAGATATAAGTTGGAACTGTCTTCCTGGCCCCCTCTTTCTTCACTCTGGCCCAGAGCAGCAGTTGGTGCTGGGGAGAGGAGCTCCCAGCTGATGGCAAGTTCAAGATTCAGGGTTAAATCACTGCCTTATTTTATTTATGCTCCATAAAGGAGAAAGAGACTGAACGGTTGTGCTATTATTTCTGTCTTTAATATGTTAATAGATACATAAAGATAATTTTTCTTGAAAAGTTTTGGATCTGGCACAGTAGTCATTGTGTGCATTTTGTTCAGTTCTGAGTTAATTTCTTTATTCTTCTCATTGGGGTCAGCATCAAAATATTGCACTGTATTTTATTTATTTATTTATTTCATCTACTTATACCCCGCCCTTCTCACCCCGGGGGGGACTCAGGGCGGCT